TAGCTTGCAAACGCGACAATCTTTACTCAGTCACGCTCAATAGCGCAGTATCGGCCTCGGTGACTGCTGAGAAGGTCGACATACAGGTTTGGCACAAACGTCTGGGACACATCGGCAAGAATAGCTTGGTGCGCCTGCCTGGTATGGTCGATGGTGTGTCATTGGACGGCGAGTACGACAACTCGCATTGCATTGGGTGCGTCAATGGCAAGCACACGCGTCAATCGTTTCCATCGAGCGAGACGACAACAACAAAGAACTTGGAGTTAGTACACTCGGATGTGTGCGGGCCAGTGCAAGTGGCAACTTACGGAGGTGCCAAGTATTTCGTCACATTTATTGACGACCACTCGCGAAGGGCTTGGGTCTACTTCATCCGGCAGAAGTCGGAAGTCTTTGAGAAGTTCCAAGAGTTCAAGGCGCTTGTGGAGAACCAAGCTGACTGTCGCATCAAGGCGCTCAGATCAGACAATGGTGGCGAGTATTGCGGCAACGCTTTCGAGAAGTATCTCAAGTCTCACGGCATTAGGCATCAGACGACAACACCACACACACCACAGCAAAATGGAGTGGCAGAGCGCCTCAATCGCACTCTCGTGGAGAGCGCGCGATGTATGCTCGAAGAGAAGGGCTTGCCAAAGGAGCTGTGGGCTGAAGCAATCAACACCGCTGTTTACATCAAAAACAGAATTCCAATCACGGCACTCAAGGACAAAACATCAGAAGAAGTATGGTCATCTCGCAGACCAAACTTGAGTCATCTCAGGGTATTCGGTTGCGACGCGTATGCGCATGTTGCGGACGCCAATCGACAGAAGTTGGATGCGAAGTCAAAGAAATTGGTTTTGGTTGGTTATTACGAGGACAGCAAAGCATATCGACTCATGGATTTGGATACACACAAGATTACAAAGGCGCGCGACGTCATCTTCATGGAAGACCGAGGAGACAAACGCGATGTGGTGTACGTCCCACGAGAGGAGGACGCTGACGACGACAACACGAGTGAGGCTACTATCGACAAACCTACTGAGTCGCTACCAGCCAAATCAAAGGAAGTCGCTCACGCTAAGCCAACAAATGCTACGAGCTCAGGTCAAGTTCGACGCTCTGCTCGTCTGACTCCCGTCACGCCAGTATCGCAAGAAGATTCGGATGATGACATTGATTTGCTACAACAGGCATCATCTCGTGTGCGCGCAAATTTGGTCATCACAGAGCCAGAAACTTATAAGCAAGCGATGGCTGGAGAGCAAAGGGAACAGTGGGAGTCTGCTACCAATTTGGAATATGCATCACTGATTGAGAACAATACTTGGACGCTATGTGAGCTTCCAAAGGGCAGGAAGGCCATCGGCAACAAATGGGTCTTCAAGATTAAACACAATGCCGACGGATCGATTGAGAAATATAAGGCACGGCTCGTTGCTAAAGGCTTCTCGCAGAAGGAGGGAATTGATTACAACCAAACATTCGCCCCTGTCGCCAAATTCAATTCTATCAGAGCAATCGTCGCTATGGCAGCCATGTACGGCATGGAGATTCATCAAATGGATGCCATCACAGCCTTTTTGAATGGTAAGCTTGAAGAGGAAGTCTACATGGTGCAACCTGAAGAATTCAAGGTAGGCCAGGACTTGGTTTGCAAGTTGAATCGAACACTATACGGTCTGAAACAGTCAGGACGAGAATGGTATATGGAGATGCACAGAGAGCTTGAGTCTCAAGGGTTCACAAGGAGCCAAGCAGACTTCTCGGTTTACGTCAAGGGCAGAGGGCAAGTCATCGTCGCAGTTTATGTGGACGATCTTCTTATCGTTTCGAAGGACAACAATCAGATATCAGAGGTCAAAAGGGATCTCTCGGCCAAATTCAAGATGAAGGATCTAGGCGAGGCACACTACTGTCTCGGCATTGAGATCATTCGAGACACGATTTCTGGAAGCATCAGGCTTTCGCAGCGCAAATATGTTGACGGCATTCTTGAGAAATTCAACATGACTACTTGCAAATCGGTCTCATCGCCAATGGATTCGGGCACCAAACTCAGCAAGATCATGCAGACTGATGAAAGTGGCCAGGATGACGATTTCGGCGAACAAGATGCAACAATGTATCAAAAGGCAATCGGCAGCATCATGTACTTGATGACAGGCACTCGACCAGACTTGGCATATGCAGTGGGAGTCGTCAGTCAGTTCATGGCAAATCCAGGACCACAACACTGGAAGGCTGTCAAGCGGATCTTCCGATACATTCAAGGCACAAAAGACTATGCATTATCGTTCAGTGGGAGCACAGAGACACAACTACTTGGCTACACTGACTCGGATTTCGCAGGATGTATCGACACTGGCAAATCTACAAGTGGCTACAATTTTAGCCTCGCTGGCGGATCAATCTCATGGAGCAGCAAGAAGCAACAGACCGTTGCTCAGTCGACCACAGAGGCTGAGTACATGGGTCTCTCTGCAGCATGTCGCGAAGCAACATGGCTTAGGACATTGTTATTCGAATTGGGCTTCAACCACGACGGTCCAACAATTGTGCACGGTGACAATCAGAGTTGTTTGGCATTGGCGGAAAATCCAAAGTTCCACAATCGCACGAAACACATTCAGGTGAAGCATCACTATGTGCGACAATGTATCGAGCTTCAAGTCGTCACTGGCAAATACCTGCAGACGGACTTGATGTTGGCAGACATCTTCACAAAGGCGCTGGCTAAGGACAAGATTGAAAGGTTTTGCACGAGTCTAGGACTACAAAGCCTGCCACGCAACAACATCTTGCCACGCTCGCAGAGTGGGAGTGTTGGAGGTGATGCTACTCGCGGTCAAGATCTCACGACGTGATCGGCAGTGGCAAATCGCATGTCTATGAATGACCATCATGGAACAACACAGAAAGCGAGAGAAAGCAATAGAACAACAGATGTTCTGTAGGCTTCCATGGACACAACAAATGTTCCAGCAGCTTCCATGAGCGCAAGTATATAAAGGTGGCAAGGTCTCATAGTAACATAGTAAGGAATCCCAGTATCAGCTGAACAGCGAAACACCTAAACACCCGAAGAAGTGCTCCATATACCATTGCACCTGCGCACAACATGATTGACAATAAGCGGATGACAGCTAACGGATTGCGATGGTCCTCCAACTATGGGGCGGCGGTGGCATTCTAAGGCCTGCGTTGTCCACTCATCAGCACAACTCTCACGCCCTTGAGTTGCCTGCGCATAACATCTCCTCTGCTTCTGTATCCCCTCCTTCCGTCTCCCGATGCCAAGCAGCCTTTTGAAGTTTTCGAATTTGTTACGGGCCGGGAGCTTTCGTCAGCAGGTCCGCGCGCATTTGGCCTGTGGCAACATAGTCAAGATGCATACAGCCAAGTCGAAGACACTCGCGAACGTAGTGGAAGCGTGGCAAGATGTGCTTCGTGCGTGTGTGAAATTTGCTGTCCCTTGCCAGTGCGATAGCTCCTTGATTGTCGCCGTGAAGCTCGACAATAAGTGCTGCATCTTTGCCATCGATTGGCGGTGACATGTGAGCGATGATGCACTTCAGCCATTGAAGCTCTTTTGTGGCATTGCTGAGTCCGACATACTCTGCCTCGGTTGTCGACAGCGCAACAACGTCCTGCTTGCGGCTTGACCAAGATACGCAGTTGTTGCCGAGGAGACTAACGTAGCCACTTGTCGATTTGCCCGTGTCCTGGCAGCCTGCGTAGTTTGCGTCAGAGTATACGTCAAGCTTGAATGGACCACGTGAGATGACGAGGGGGTCATCCTTTGTCGACTGCATGTACCGTAGCAGTCGCTTCATTGCCTTCCAGTGTTCGTGGCTTGGGTGTGACATAAACTTGCACAAGATGCTGAGTGGAAACGCGAGATCTGGGCGGGTCGTGGTCATGACAAACATGAGGCAGCCGACAGCCTCTTGGTAAGGAATCGAGGTCATCTCCAGTATTTGCTCCTGCGTGGGCTTGACATCTTTGTCCTGAGCCGAGAACTTCGCGTTTGGGTCCATCGGCAGTGCTGTACCTTTGCAGTCTGCCATACCGAAACGTCGCAGTGTGTCTTTGATGTACCGCGAGCTTGACAACTCGATAGTTCCGTCGTTGCGGCGCACCAGCTCAACGCCGCAAAATTGCGTGGCTAGACCTAGGTCTGACATGGCCCATTTTTGCTTGATTGCGGTCTTGAAGTGCTCAGGTGCATGGGAGTCGCGCGCGACGATGAGCAGATCATCAACATAGACCACCAATCGAATTACTCCACTTGGCATGGTGGACAGGCCTTGCTCCTGGTCACGCTGGACGAACCCGTAAGCGGTGAGAAATCTGCATAGCTCGAGGTACCACTCCCGACCTGACTGCTTGAGGCCATACAAGGTCTTTTTGAGCTTGCACACGCGGCCTGTACTGTCCTCGAAGCCTTGAGGTTGCTCCATAAAGACATCTTCGCTGAGAGTGCCATTCAGAAACGCGGCGACGACATCTAGGTGATGGATTTCCAAAACTTCTTTGACGGCGACAGTGAGCAGAGTGCGGACAGTGGTGAACTTAGCGACCGGTGCGAATATCTCGTTGAAGTCGACTCCCTCGATCTGCGCGTAGTCTTTTGCGACCAGGCGTGCCTTAAACTTGTCCAGATTGCAGTTTGGGGGAGACTTGACCTTGAATGCCCATTTGTTGCCGATGACAGGGTGGTCCTTTGGGCGCTCCACCAAGTCCAAAGTTTTCATTTGCCAAAGTGTGGTCATTTGGTCCAGCTGAGCCTCTTCCTAATACTCGCGCTCTGGTAGACTGATCATCTCTCGGTAAGAATTCGGCTGGACAATCTGTGCCGCTGGTCGTAGTACCTTTGGTAAAGCTTTTGTGAACGGCATGTTGATCTCGTCCACTTCTTCCACTTCTTCATGTTGGACTTCGGGTGCTAAGGTGTCTTCTTCTTCATCGCTGATGCTGTCCTGCGCCGATACCTCCTCAGTGTTGTTGTCGTCGTCGTTCTCCTCGTCCTCTCCGCCGTCCCTGCTGGTCTCGTGAATGATAGCGTCCCTCTCGAGGCAAGGACCCAGTCTCGTTGGGCCAGCTGGGGCTCTTCGCGGCCGACGACAGACAAAACACAAGATGACCAGAAGATGCTACAGTCAATTTCTTTGGCCTCGTCCGCTGCTACAATTCTGTTCGGTGCAATCCTCACGGCCCTCATCCAACGGTCAACTGCGCACATTCATTCACGGACCCATGTCCACACCATCGAGGGAGCGTCGTTCTTTGGCTGCCTTACGACGATCTCGCCACAAGAGATCGACAGCAACATGCTTGCCTGATCCTGGCTGACAAACGTGGTCCTGCGAGGAGTGCAGTTGGTGTCGAGATACCTGTGGGTCGCGTACATCGTTGAACTTGATACCAGTGAGGGCGAACAGACATGGACATGTCACTACGACTTCTCTTTCCCTCTGTCCAGTTGCGCCGAGATTTTCACCAGTTCTGACATCCCCACGAGGGAGACATCCACCGCCAAGTTTGGTAGCACGCCATTCGAATGATGCTGATTCAGGTGTAGCTAAGATACAACTAGCCAGCGGTAGACACAAGTCGTAGTACAATGTCCACATCTGTCCGTTGTCACGAATCTCAATTTCGACGACGTATACCTCTCAAAGGCCGTTTGTTACCCACTGCATGTCTTGCAGCATCATGCTAGTCTAGCTAGCCAAGACCAGGCCAGAGCGTCACAATCGATCTACTCTGGTAAAATGGCAGCGAGCAGGCAGAAGAACACAACCACCTGTGTGATGTGCACTTCTGTCTTCGAAAGAATGCCAGCCTTCAACCACGAGCGAAGCGCTGTAAGATCCGGCACCGAACGAAGTCGCCGATGTTGTCAAAGCCAAAGATGACGATTGCAAGCGTGTCCTGGTTATGTGTTTTCATCCGTGATCGGCATAGCAGAGCTCAGCTTCGCCCAGCGCCCAGCGAGACTCGCCCTGTACTTTTGAGAGGACTACAGCCGGGTGCACCTCGACTACGTTTAGAATTGGTGTCGCCGTTGCTTCTCTGCTGATTGAGATCCGCTCATAGTCGACTGGCTGCATGTTTCCTGCGCTGTTGGTCTCGCCCATGGCGTTGTGGGACGTACTGGTGACGCTCATCACTGCCCTGAGCAAGTTCTGGTGCACAGCGCCAAAGAAGCACACATATCCAAATGTGAATGCACAACGTTTCATCGCGATACTGAGAGTCGGAGACTCGATTTGAGATGAGACAGGCCGCTTGTCGGTGGCTATAGTACCAAGAGGGGGTCAAATGGCTGATCATCAGACATGCCGGCGACGATCGCATATAGCTGTGCCACCTGTTGGCGCAAGCGAGTTGTGGATAGAAGGCGTTGAGCAGTCTATGGCATTAGTCGACTGAAAGCAGAGTAGATTGAAGCACACGCACTGGGGTGGAGGCCACCAAGAGCGAGCTCAGACAGTCAGACGCAGGTGGACTGCACCTGTAGTGTCAGAGTGCGCTCTAAAGAATGTCATTGACAAAAGAGCCTGTGCAGCAGCAGCACAGAGAAGTCGATAAACAAGAGAATGTGGGACGCCCGCAAGCGGCGAAAGCGAAACTGTTCCAAGCACAAAACAACCTGGTTGATGCCTGCAAAGATCAAACGGCATGATCGTGACCTACTCGTCGATGACGTGTCTGTGGGATGGTGTGGGTTGATGTCTCTTGAGATGCCTATTCCGCAGCATATATGCGTTCCCAGCTTGCTCGCTGGCTGCCAGTGACTGGTGCACGCTCTTACGGTGTCTATCAGTCATGATCACTGTAAAGCTTGTGCCCTCACCCCATGGTCAGATCAACAACACGAGGGAATGAATGCAGGGGGAAAGAACAAGCGGCGTGCGGCTGAGTAAGTGACAATTGCACGGCGCACGCCGCCGCACGCCGCACGCGCGTTGAACACTGACAACAGTGACAAGGTGGAGGAACGCAGAGCGCGACTTTTGGCCGTCCAGAATTGTCAACATCTCTCGACGGCTTTCGAGCTAGATAGGCTCACGAAGCGCGCTTGAAGTGCGGTGCTTGGCCTTGCGCCCCATCTATGACTGAGCGGCCGCACGAGCAGCTTCAACAGACAAGGGAGGAGGCTAATCCGAGCAAATTTGATGTCGTCTGGGCCTCCGAGGATCCTGAAAATCCCTTTCACTGGTCTACTGGTAAAAAAGCAGTGGTTGCATGTGCTTGCCTGCTATTGACACTACAAGTGGCGATTGCTAGCGTCTGCTATGCTTGGATATCTGACGAAGTCGCTCGCGAGTTTGATTTGTCCAGTACAGTATCCCTCCTTGGTATTTCGCTCTTCACTATGGGGTATGCCATTGCTCCGCTCATCCTTGCGCCCATCAGCGAGTTATATGGCCGCAAACCTGTCTTGTTGGTAACCTTTGCCATCTTCGTCGTTTTGCAGCTTCCCACTGCTTTGGCGCCAAACTTTATTTGTATTGCATTGTGTCGTTTCTTGGCCGGTGCTGCTTCCTCTACAGGTGGCGCCATGGTCGGCGGTACATTGGCTGATATGTACACGACTGATACCCGCGGTTCGCTCATGGAATACTTTACGGCCGCAACGCTTCTTGGCTCACCCGTCGGCAGCGTCTTCCCGGCCTATGTCGTTGCTGCACCAAACCTAGGTTGGCGTTGGGTGTTTTGGATACAACTCATCATCGATGGAGTGATCTTGTTGGCCTTCTTTGTGGTTCTCAGCGAGACTCGAGGCTCAGTGATTCTTTCGAGACGGGCCTTTGACTTACGACAATCAACTGCAGATGATGCAGATGATCGTTACAGATACCAAGGCGACGTCAACAAAGAGTCTTTTAGCGCCATGGTCCGCTCGTCATTGACATTTCCATTCATGTTTCTCTTCTGTGAGCCTATTGTTGCATTCCTGAGCTTATGGGTAAATGCCGGCTATCTTCACGGATTTCGCTAATCTCAAAGGTTGCATTCGCATGGGGCATCTTGTATCTTTTTCTCATCGCTGTGCCACTCGTCTATACTCAAGTCTTTGGCTGGGTTGATGGCAAACGTTCGCTACCTTTTCTTGCGATGGCCGTCGGCTGTACAATTTCCCTGGCATTTGCTCCTCTTCAGAATCGGTGGTACTTGCGCGCGAGTAAGTCCCAACCAAACCACTTCAATCCTGAAGCAAGATTATACACAAGCATGTTTGGGTCGCTCTCTTTCACCATTGGCATCTTCATTTTTGGCTGGTCAGCAAAAGACGTTGACAGTCACTGGATCGGGCCTGCAATCGGCATTGTTTGCGTAACATTTGGCATCTTTTCTATTTACAGTGCCGTCTTCTCCTATCTGAGTGATTGCTATGGTACCTGGACAAGCTCAGCACTGGCTAGTCAATCCTTCTTGCGCAATATTTTCGCTTCGTCATTTGCATTATTTGGCAAACAGCTCTACCAGCAACTCGGCATACAATGGGCATCATCGCTGCTTGGATTTCTGTGTCTCATGTTGAGCTTCACGCCTTTCGTTCTGTTTCGCTATGGTGCCCAGATCAGAGCCGCCTCAAAATTCGCCACCAGCAACGCTACAGTGAGTCATGTACAACGACCACAGCAAGGCAAGGATGGTGGAGAGCGCATCTGGCTCAAGGGCTAGAAGAGCGATGCAAGTCATAGATCCCAGGAACTGCGTCGTCTATCTCGTCCATTGCACACCACGAAAGGTTCTTCTAGCGACTGAGTTTTACGCGCATCGCAGAAAATCTGGATGACTACCGAACACTTGGTGACGAAAAGGGCGCAGGGATTCATCTCACTCTTGCAGTCAAGCGACCGCAGTACAATGGGACGCCGCCTGAATCGCCAGGACGTGGACGTTTCGCTTCCGTCTCTGCTGCAGATATTATCGAGAAGGAAGGCCCGAGCCACAAGCTTTGGGGTATGTATGAAGTCGATGACCGAGAGAATATGAAGTGCCTGAAAGCGGCGAGGGCGAAAGTTTTGGGTCACAAGTGAATCAGGCGCCTACGCAAGCGCTCCTCGACCTCACTCTTCGCCAAAGCGGGATGAGCAAGAAGGCCGCCTGCGAGAGCGCACTAGAGTGGTTAGACGGCAAGGACTTCTGGTGCCAAGGTTCAGCGCTTCAGAGCCGAACCTTGCGGCAAGATACTACTGCGACATTATGTGGCCGCACGGGAAATGTATACCTGATGACGGAGATCTTCATGGCAGCAGTGACAGCTACGGACATCACCTCGACACCTACCGGCTCGAAACATCAAGAAGGCTTCCAGACGATCCAAGTCAGAAGCGAACATGTTACGCATGCTCCCTTCAGAGTCGAGGCCATTCGAGCAGGCGTGGTAGCTTATGGACAAGTCCTTAAGCCGTCATTTGCGAGCCTTGGCTCGGCTGCTGAAGCGCCCACCACAAATAGCAACCAAAACACCATCACTCATCTAGATACGCCGGCATGAACTCTCAGCATCGCCGCCGCAAGCACTGGTGTGATGCTTATGACAAAACAGTCACGCGCGACGACTGTGTCCCGCTCGCCCGGAGTGACAGTGGGTGGATGGCAATCTTTGGGATGGCTCATGGAAATAAATCTTGACGAGTCAGACCCAAGCAACCTGGACCCTACTTGGCTCTCTTCGCTGCTGCCCATGGTCAGAATCTTCATCCCAAAGAGCGTCCGGGTTCCGTCTATGGTTGAGCTCGATCTAAGCGATAACGTGCACCTTTGGCGTCGCTTCTGCATGCTCAAAACAATGCCCCAGCGAAACACATGGATAGTCATTCAAGACGTGCTATGCAACGGAAGATAAGCGAAGATGCGTTACGTTCGTGACCAAGACAAGGTCCGTGTTCTACTACTATGTCCAGCTTTAATATGAAAGCCAACGTGGCCCATGATCACTCAGGTTGAGCTCAACCACAAATGAAACCCAGACGCGCTTTGAGCTGAAGTCTCTGCTTTATGAGTAATAGCGTAAGCCAAGACAATATCAGGTTACTGGCATTCAGCTCGTCGCGAGCTATGTCAGTGAGCCAGCCAAAGTGCTCTCGTTGTCACCACGGGCGAGCGGGACAGAGTCGCCGCGCGTGACCATGAGCGCGTGATGTTGTAGATGGCGGCGCAGCTTACTGCGGCGATGTCCGATGTCCATGCCAGCGCGCGTAGCATGGTGAGATTGATGTGGTCAGTATCTGTGGTGGTCGCTTCAACTCACTCACTCACTCACTCACTCACTCGTCCAGATACTGCCACGCCTGCTCCTTGCCGTCCACCCAGTCGGTTGCGCTCTCGAGAGCGACCTTCTCGCTCATCCCGCTTTGGCGTAAGATGTCTGAGGAGCGCTTGCGTAGGGGTTTGACAAACGCTATTTGCTGTGGAGTCACTATTTTATGTTTTCTGGGATGACGCTAGTTGTCCATAAAGCTGAGACCTGCCTGCCTACAACACGCTTTCCATTTGCGTGCTTGAATTTGCACTGCCTATTTTCATACATTGAGAAGCCACCTCTAAGTCACCTGCAAACAGTCTCTCGTGCGACCTTCCCTTTTTCTGTTGCGAATGCAGTGGTCATTTGCCGCTGAATCAACAAATAGAAACACTATTCACTCAATGCTTTGACCCAGAGGGCGATCGTACCTGTAACCTTGCTGCTGTAATTCATATAGCCTAGCCTTCAAATCGGAACCATCCGCGGAATTGAGGCGCTCCAACAATTCCGCTTCTTGGGCGTCTGCCAGCTCGCCGCGTGAGGCGCTTGCTGAATTGCCCCTTGACGGACTGCTCGTAGCAGAGCGCAGAATATTCAAACGTTGCGACATCTGGTGCGCCATGCGCATGATTTCACCTTCCTCAGTTTCGAGAACGCGCGACTTACGGTTTGCGCTGCCAGTGTGTTGAGGGAGGTAATCTGCCATCTTTCTGCCGGTGTGTAAAGAACGACTTGTCTTGTCGAATTCTGCCGTGTACTTTTCCTCGTCGAGACGAGCACTTGGGTACATTGATTCGAACCGAAGAATCACACGATGCAGAGTTGCCATGACCAGCTCCATGCGGCGGTGCTCGATCTCGTCTGTAGCCTCCTCAAGAAGAGGCTCGATACGCTTACTGAGCTGACGAGCCCTATCAAGCAAGTCGAGCGGCAACAAAGATGCGCCAGGGGCATCGTCTTGGTCGAGCAAAAGTTCCAGTGCGTTGACAACACCTTGTGCTCCAGCAGCCAGGTTCACAGCTTCGACACTGGGTCTGCGAGATTGTACTTCAGCAGACTCTAGCTGCTGCCGCATAGCCGTCTGCAGCGATCGCGAATCTGGCTTTGGTCCGGCCTCTGCATGATCCATTTCGACTCGGCCGATGTTGCGCAAGCATTCTGCAACAATTTTCCTCACAATCTCTTCGCCAGCTGAGGTCTCGGGTGCATCAATTTCCAGACTGACAAGACTTTTGCAGACCCTGGCAAGCGCCAACAATGTGCTCAGCGCCGCCTCATCCAGTCTGAGGCCAGTTAAGACCAGCAATGATAGCTGATGTTGCGAGAATACCTCGCAAAGCGACACAACATCGTCAGACGTTAGCTGAGTGGAGGACAGATTGATTCTTCTCAATTGCTTCCATTGTCTGAGCGTCGTTTTGAGTTGTGGAAGAATACATCGGATATCGCTTTGAGCGAGGTTGAGCGCCCTCAATTCTGGTAGGCGTCCAATAAGGTGCATGAGCTGTTCCAAAGTCCTTGTATCAAGATTACAGCCCTCAAGATCGAGGTATAACAGCGGTGAACTTGGCGAGATAGCAGTCAAAAAGGTGTAGACTTGGGGTGCAGGGCCGGAGCCTAGTAGATCGATGAATTGAAAGCCATTGGAAGAGCAGAGGTGCGCAAGTAGCGCTGCGATATTATCAGTCAGGTGCATGTTACGCAGGGCACACCCTTTGATACCCGAAGCGTGCATGGCGCGGATCAAGCGAAGCAATTGGTCCTCAGAAACCGGGGCGCTACCAAGGCCAAACTCCGATAACGCACGCAGCTCGCCGTCTGACAAGAGCTTCACAGCAACATCCAGTGTCTCATCAGTCCACTGTGAGCCAAGCCAAGAAAAGTGTTTTAGTTGTGGAGACAGACAGAGAAAGGTGAGCGCGTCGGCCAATCCTGTTGTTGTGGTGTCCCCATTGTAGACAACTTTTAGCGACTCGATGTTCGCGCTCGCAAATAGGCAGCTCAGCAACAAACGTAGACTGGAATCGTCGAGGCCGCAATTGACAAAGGATACATCCACCAAGTGTTTGCCGGTGAGTGGTAACCCCATTGTGTCTGCGAGAGCGGTAGCCGCCAAACCTCTCAGATCAATATTCTCAAAGATCAATTCTCTTGGCCCCTCGAAGGGAGCTGATACTGGTCCGTTCTTTCTGAATTGACGAGCGATTTGATCAATTGGCTTGATGCGGTACACTTTGCAGCACTGCTGATACAAGTCTGCGCGATCAAGTGGTTGCATGTCTGCATACACATTGATGACCTCCATATCCGAGACTGTTGGAAAGCCTGTGTCGCTTCTATTGTCTTTTGTCTGGTCGTGTGATTCAACCTGTTCGTAGGCTCTCACTTCCACCAACTCATCCAAGTGGAAACAGACGCGACGTAACTTTGACTGCGGCAAGCCCGCGATATGAACACGTTTCCGCTTGGCCTGTTGATTAGCGATGGTTGAACATGGAGGCAGCTCTGACATTTTTATTCAAGGTCATCCGCGGAGCAGGGGCATTAAGATCCTGTGAACTGCCAACTGAGGACACCGAACTCGTTCGATCTCGGCTGCTTGTCGATAATCTGCGGATACTGGACAGAAATCCTGATCCCTTCTTGCTTTCACGCGCCTCTCTCTTTGCCTCAGCCTTGTCTTCAGCTGCGGCAAGCTTGGCTTCGCGCTGTTTGACCTGCACAAACCATGAATTGGATCGACCCCGTACCGGCACTTTCGGCTCGACGTCTTCAGTATGTTCAACAGAAGCTTTGCTGCCTTTGAAACTGCCTTGTCGTTGACTCATTGGTCTACCAGGCACGACGTTCATGCCGTTGGGGCTCAAAATATGCTCCGCGACAACCAAGAACTAGTCAAGTTGGACAACGCTTCGAGGAGCTCTGGAATGGTAATACGACTAAAGCGCTGTTGGAATTGTAGACTCGCGTCCCTGAGAAGGCCTATTCGCGAAGTCTACGCTTGGTGGAGGTTGCAGTCGAAGAAGTTGGTCTGCCCCGCAGTCACCGGATGGCTGTTCGCAATCAATCAAAAATCACCGAGAATTAGTCCTCAGCAGAATGGGTTTGAGATGGGCAGCATTGGACATGTTCGTCTACGGCTCATAAATGTCTCTACGAGGCTATTAGCCGTTTACAGGGGTCAAAGCCTACCAAAGCTCTTGATTGGTTTCAGGTCTTTCTCGGCTGGCTGGACGACAATACACAGGCTAGATTGACGCTGTAGCTGTCTTTGAAAAATGGTCGCCACGGCGCATCGACGCAAGCACAGCGCGGTGGCGAGAGCCCTACCCGCGACTGACGCCAGGAGTCAGCTCAAGCGAAAGTTGAAATCACAACGAAGAGCGTTCTCTTTGCGATCCCACAGCAGGATGGTGGATTTCTGTGAGCATTGGCTTCAAAAGCGCGTCACATTCGCTTGATCAGACGTAGCATGGCGTTCCGAGCCATTCACAGACTCTTGACCAGCTTGCGATCGATACTCAAATTCCGACAAGCTTGCTGTTTCCGATGCATGGTGCTGGGAAAAGTGGTCAATTGGGTTCCAGCTCTGCAGTCGGCCACTGGTCCAAGCATGGGAGTTTTGTACGTCTGGAGCTCCAAAACCCCCGGCGTCAAATGGAAGATGCTCGCCACCAGGCTGACCAGGCATGACATGGCGTTCGGGCTGCCGGTAGGCAACTTTTGGCCGTGAAAGCTGAATCATGGATCTTTGGAGGTTACTTAGGGGGCCTTCGACAAGGACGTCATTGTTCTTGTAGTGCGAAAGCAAGAAGTGCCAGAGCGGATGCTTGCTTAAGACACGCGGGTTGCCCAGAATGACCAGCCCATATTTGGCTCTAGTCAGCGCAACATTGAGACGACGTGGGTCGCTTAGAAAGCCGATACCCTGATGCTCATTCGAGCGAACACACGACAAGATGATGTAGTCCTTCTCACGTCCCTGGAAGGCATCGACGCTAGCAACTTCAATGTCTTTGTAAAGGTCTTTTCGCAATGAGCCATTTTGTTGCATCGAACTGACAACATAGGAACGCTGGCCTTCGTACGGGGTGATCACCCCGATCTGGGCTGGCGTCACGCCAGAGCGAAAGAACTTGGTAACAATTTTCTCGACATTGGATGCCTCAGTCCGATTCAAATAGCTGGTGCCAGACGCCGAAATCTCTTCCTGCCCAAGATTGCTGTGGAACATCATCGGAACATTTGGAATCGGCCAGGGGAAGTCCACCGCTGGTCGTAGTCTTTCAATCTCGGTCACACCATTCTGAAGCATGCCTTCGTAAAACATGTTGCTGGGAAACTCAGACATTTTCGGGTGCATTCTGTATTGCACCGCGAGGCGGATGGGAGCCATGCCTAGAAAGACGAGTCTCTCAAACAAAGATTGGCAAAGGCCAGCGCGAGCAGCCTTTTTATTCATGATGACGGGAGGTAGTTGTTGATGGTCACCGACTAACACGGCCTGCTTGCAACCCGAGACGAGTGGAATCATGCACTCTGGCTCAGTGGCTTGAGTTGCTTCGTCAATCAGCACAGTCTTGAATTGCAAATCAGACAGGCGAGGGTCGCCGCAACCTACGCAAGTCGCGCAGACAACGTCGGCATTGGCAAGGATCTCCTTCTCGGCTAGTCTGGTCAAACTCTTGTACTTCTTCTCATCCGAGGAGCTCAACTCCCCTAATTCAGACTTGAGCTGAATGAGCTTCTGTAATTCCGTATTGGCGTCATTGTGCTTCACCTGTTCGTGTAAGGTCAAAAATCGTATAGGTGAATCGAGGTCCTCGCGAGACTTGGCTGACACGCGAACAACCTTGAGGCCCGTGCAGTGAATTTTGTAGGCCAATTGATCCACTGCTACATTCGACGGCGCCGTGACCAGGACTTGTCCCGCATTCATTTTGGACAAATGGTATACGATAGTTGCGGATGTTACCGTTTTACCAGTTCCTGGAGGGCCTTGAATCAATGACAAAGGCTTCTGCAAAACACTCTTGACGGCTTGGACCTGAGAAATGTTGAGGTCAGGGAGGTTCGGGACTGAAAAACGCTTTGGAAGCTGTGCTTTCAATACGAGAGGAGCAACATCATGGCCCAAAAGTTTGTGGTAGATGTAGCCCGTGACACTCTGCTCGTTGATGGCAAAGGACTTGAGGGCAGTTTGCATGCGGTCAAAGCTCGTCGACTTCCACACATAATCAATTGAAAAGTTGTGCGTGCACTGAGTCGGGACCTTGTCAGACTTGCGCAGCTCTAGACCAACTTCATCAGAGAGTCCATTGGGTATCTTGATCACGAAACCAGCGCTCTCCCATTCTGCTCTGAGCTCCCCTCGGTAGCGCAGACGAAGCTCATCGCCGACAGCGAGCTTCACATCACCAATTTCGAGCTTGGGCAGGAAGAACCAGGCAACGTGCTTTTGATTCAAGCCAATATCCCACCGAACAACAACGCTTTCTTGAGTCTGCGCCTCTTTGAGTTTCTTGTCGTAGTCAGCTTCGATCTTGACCAGTGGTCCAAAAATATTTTGGTACTGGTAAGCATCATCGTACTTGAGCAGCACAGGGCTTGGCTCGTCGTCTACTCCTGGCCTCTCCAGATCATCCAGCGTTGCCGATGCATTGTCACGCCAGAGCTCCTCGAGCTTATTGATTTGGTGGCTACTGATCTGACGTGCTCGCATGACTTCGTGGTCGAGAGGGACAGAAACTAGCCAAGGCAAAAAAGAGCGGTCATCAATCAGGGGCTGCCACTGCGAAGTGTCGAAGACCATATCTTTAGGCCCAGTGTGTGCAGCGCATGGTTGGCGACACAGAAGGACCACCAGCGTGTCGCTTTTGGCCGGAATGAAACCTAAAAGGAAGACATTCTTCACGCCACAGTTGTAGCACTCGAGTACAGTGTCGCCAAGGGCGGAGTCCTTGTGCAAAACCACTTCCTTGTGGCGCGAGCGCACTAGATGCGTGACTATATGGGCTGCCGATGTGTTGCCACGCGAATTGCAGAACCATTTGCTACAGTGCAAGCATTTGACCACGGAGGCCGGCGCGTGAATACCGCAGTAAGAACACGCATGTTCTGGAAGGTCGTCACCAAATCCTTCTACGTTGTCGGGTGCGTCTGGCGAAATGTGCAGCTCGCCAAAAGCCTGTTCCACTGTTGAGCCATCTGCTATGCTTGATGCGTATTCCGTGTTTGCTTGTGATGCGTAGACTGTAGAGGCCATCGTCGTGACCGATTCATCGTCGCTCATGCAGTAGTGTCTTTATGCTGCCTCCTATGCAAGAAGAGCAGCTTTCGTGCTTGTCGGGTCGAGGTGTACAGTAGACGCCGTTCAAATTGTTTGCAGATGCTTTCTTGCCGCAAAGCGTAGACGCGCACCGCGGCTGGCCATGAACAACTGCAACGATTCAAAGGTTTGAATACACCGGCGTCTAGCTGCTACGGCGATTGAAGAGAACTGATCTGGGGCTGAGATATACTCTCCGCTGCCTTGAAGCACCAGCTCAAGCGGCGCTCCCCTCTTTAGGCTTTGCCTTGTGATGTTGAAAAAGCTTTCCAAGGTGCGTGACTTGGCGCTTATCTGTCTTGCTGGTGCGATTGATACAGCATGACTGAACGTAACGAGACACTCGAAGCCGAACTCGAATCTCTAGAAGCCATTTTTGGGAATGACTTCGAACGCATGCCACAAGCCAAGACTGCCTGGAACCAGTATTCCCCGCCCAGTATTTGCATTACGATACACTATGAACCGACAAGCGCCTCCGGTGATTCGCTCGCCTCAACAAACTCAGGCACATCGATAGTCCTGCATGTCGACTTCAGTCGGACCTATCCAAAGACTTGTCCGACAGCGCTTCATCTGAAAGATCCAAAAGGAATCAAGACGCGTGATGTTGCGCCACTCGAGCAAGAGCTGCGTGATCTCTCCAAGACATTGCAAGGAGCTGAGATGATCTTTGATCTTGTTCTGGCCATCCAGGACAAACTTCCAAAAATCGCAACCCTGGTGCCCTCGAGATCCCTCGACAAAGAGCGCGAGTCCCGGCTTGCACAGCAAATCATCGCGAGAGAACACCAAGCGCAGGCTGAAGCTCAACAAAGGCTAGAAGAGGAAGAGAAAAAGGCTGTTGCTATGCGCCAGAAAATTTCTTTGGCCAATAGTGGGCCAACCTCAAATGCTCAAACGACATTGAAGCTTGCACACCCAATCAAGCAACATATACTTAACCTCACAACGCGCGCCTCCTTGCATGGGGTTGCATTCGATGCCATCGAGCTGGGAGTGCCAATTGAGATCAATTCTCTTGTGGGTGTATACTTGACGCAGCTCACGAGCGGCGATAAGCTGATCATCAAAAAGCTTGGAGTGTTCTCGAACGGCTTAGACCGACAGACCCACAAGGCTGCTGTTTCTAAACTTGAGGCCTACATACGACAGTCCTTGCTTCAGCACATGCTCGCCGATGACAGAGCAGTTGCGAATATCGGCTATCATGTCGAGCATACAAGCGAATTGACCAGCGATGTATTCATCATCCAGCCTATGCTTGGTTCTTCTGCAGCGGACATACTCAAAATTGTTCATCCGACCTTGGAGCAGGCGCGTCGATGGCTCATTGATTTGCTTGATTGTATTGCCGTCATCCATCGACAAGGCCGTGTACACGGTCGCATCAAATCATCTAAAGTCTATTTCACTGAACAGAATAAGGAGCACAAAGCAACACTTGTGGATGTCGGTTACTTGGGTGACGGCGCGATCCAAGACGGACGTCTAGCTCAATTAATTCCCTCACATCGCGAATCAAGCCCCTTGAAAGGCAAGAATGAGGATTTGGCACGCCTCCTACTGGTTTTCTTCGAGCTTTGTACCGGAGAAAGCGACTATGCTAGCCACGCTAATCTTGAAGCATTTTTGAATGCACACCGCAGCGGTCTTGCTGATGGGGCTTTCGAATTTGTCCATGAAGCGCTCACTGGACGTTTTTCGCATCGTCTCACCAGTGCCGATCTTCTCAACACTCCGTTTATGCGAGGCTTGGGCTTGACTAAGGAGGAATCAACACTGAGCATCTCCAATCATCAGGCTACCATGACACAGCGAGCTCCTGTTCATCATTCGCGATACACGACTGATTTTGACGAATTGACTAAACTCGGGCAAGGCGGTTTTGGAGCGGTTTACAAGGCCCGCAACCGTCTGGACGGACGCCTGTATGCAATCAAAAAAATTGCCAACTTTCGCGAAAACAATCGACTTTTACGTGAAGTGTCTGGGCTCGCAAGACTCAATCACGCTCACATCGTGCGTTATTTCAGCGCCTGGATCGAGCAAGAAGCTGTTTTGCCTAAAGAAGAACCTCATGGCTTTTCGGCATCGGCGAGCTTTTCTGATTTATCTGCAGAGCCAGATGACTTCATGTCCTCCTCGGGCTTCATCCAGTTTGCGCCAGACGGTATATCTCGTGGCGCCCTGTCAGATATCTCCGAGCACACTGCTTCGCTTGCTTTGGAACATGAATCCACACCAGAGCCTGCCGCAGCCAGGACACTTTTCATACAAATGGAGCTTTGCCCGCATGCGACATTGCGAGACATCATCGATCGCGACGAGGTTGGCATTAAGTACTGGACATACTTCGGACAAATTACGCAAGCGATATCGTATCTACACTCGCAAGGCCTCATCCACAGGGACTTAAAGCCTGGTATGACCTATTTCTACTGCTGATTCAGCTAACTCTAGCCAATATATTCATCTCTTCTGAGGGCATGCTTAAGCTTGGTGATTTTGGCTTGGCAACAGAATCACAGATCATCGAAAATGCTGCCGGCATAGTTCAGGACGCGTCAGAGCAGACTACCGAGGTCGGTACTTTCTTGTACTGTGCACCAGAGGTCGCCAAACCGAATGCTAGTTACGATGGGAAGGTCGATATATACGCTATGGGTGTCATACTCGCAGAAATCGTTTGTCCTTGGACAACTTCCATGGAACGGGTGCAATTGCTGAGGAAATTGCGACGCGATCCATCGTGTCCAATTTTTGATGTTGAGGACAAGCCCTTGGAAGCACGGCTTATTTCAATGATGCTACAACATGATCCAAGAGAACGACCAACGGCTGCAGACCTCTCAGAAATGCTACCACCTCTTGTACAACGTGATCAAGTTGCAAATATTCTCAAGTTGGTCGACCAAGACCCAACTTGCAGATCACAAGTCATTGCTCAATTGTTTTCACGGCAGCCAGATCCTGTGGCTGATCATCTCTACGCTAATCGTGATAGAAGGACTGACTTTAATGCCCAACTCTGGGGCGCTTGGACCATCGCTCACTTGACTGCTTTGTTTCGCGCTCATGGTGCCATTCCGCGTCCAAGTCCAATCATGCTGCCTACACAAGCTATGTATGCTTCGAAGCCAAATGTAGCACGCTTCATCGATCCAGATGGCCGATTGGTGCAATTACCATTCGACTTGTCAATGCCATGGGCTCGAGAATTGGCGCGTAATTTCTATGGCTCGCTCAAGACATTCTCTATCGGCAATGTTGCAAGGGTTGATGCAGTCGGGGCTGCACCGCGGCCTTTGCTAGAGGCTGACTTTGATATTGGGATCTGTGACGACAATGGGACATTGGCCTTTGCCGAGGTTTTGCAGATGGCTCAAGAGATTGCCAGCATGGACTGCTTCAATGATTTCAAGAAGCGACTTGTCCTGGGCCACTCTACAATAACAAATACCCTGTTGGAGCTCGCAGACTTCTCGGGTGATCAAAGAAAGAGGCTTGCACCAGCCATTGTGCAACTGGCGAGGAAGGCTGTTCGTATGTCACACAGCAGCTTGCGCAGAGCCCTGAATTCCGAGGACTTGCCGGATACACTTGTGCAAGAATTGCTCAGGCTTGTTACGACCTGGCAAGTCAATGCAAACTTCGAAGCTGGTCTTGCAGAAGTGAGACAGTATTTGCAAGCGTCCATGACAATCGCCTGCCAGTCTGCCATTGTCGAGCTCGAGACTCTAGCGGGAAAGCTGCGTGACCTCGGATTCGTGATTGCGTTTGATGCATTTGGGGGCAATGGCACAGACTATTATTCAATCAATTTCAGACTCGACTATGGCAATTCTCCGCATCTCGAAACTTTGTGCCAGGGAGGATTCTATCATCTCTCTGCTGCCGAATTTGCTTTGCCCGGTGAGCAGCTCAAGATCAAGAGCTTAGTGGGTTTCAGTCTTGCTGTCGATAAAATTACGCGACTGACCGCTTCCACGGCCCGTTCACGAGCCATGCATTGCTTTGCGATGGTGGCCTTTCCACAATTGAACAAGATGCAGGCGCTTCTCGATCTGCTACGCGAGCTTTGGAAGCTCGGTGTACCCACTGATTATGCTCAGATGACTACACCCAGTACCGAAGAGGCCCACGAGCTGGCAAAGTCAAAGGGAGCCTCTTATCTCATCATGTTCCGAGAGCGCCGCCATCAAGTTCTGCCAACGGATGTGCTCAAAGTGCGAAGTGTTTTTGGTAAGGATCACTTTGAGGTAGCGCTATCTGACATTCCATTCTTCATGCTCGGACTGCATCAGACAAGTCGGGAGATTATCTCGCCTGGACAAGTAGAATCAAAGATATCGATCTCCGGAGACGCGAGGGAGCGACTAGACATACAATTCATTACTGACGACGAGCATCGCAAGATGAAGCTGCCTCAGCGGCAATTTATCGGTAGCAAAGCAACGGATGCCCTCGACGCCCTCACAAAGCGTCTGCAGGCAGGGGACGCAACAGTGATTGTGGTTGATTTTGACCAAGATCAACTTGTGGCCTTTCAAACGATGCGGGTCGGCCAGGATGCATCAAATCGAAGAGCGCTGGACAAATTCGATGCACAAGGCCGAGTTCATGCTCTTGGCGCCCTTGCAAAGCTGGAGACGGCAACAAGTGCAGGCGAGCAGTGTGTATTCATGTACAGTTTTAGGACAGGCCAGCTTGTCCTGCTTGCAGCAGAGAGATCAGGTCATTATTGACATGCAGCAGTTGTAGTTGCCTTCAATCCTTTGACGGTTTGACCATGACAAATTGTCCTCCGTCTGCGGGTTTGGCGGCGCCGTCATTTTGCAACCGCCAATGCCGAGCTTGCGACAATCGACACCTGCTACAACACTACTATATCACTGGCTTTTGTGCTCATCCGTCCTTCGTGATCTATGGCGAGGCCAACAGACGATCCAGGCATGCTATTTCGCAATACCCGATATACCCCGGCGAGACCGGAGATGGCACGCGCACTCAGACTCGAAGATTTCGGGTTGAATCAGCGCTCAGGATTCCTGCCTGACGAGCCACCAATCAGCCGATTGCCGCAAAAGCACTACAAACCATGGGAGACAATCATGGATTCATTCAATGCACTTTTGCTTGCTGGGCGCTTGCAGGATGTTGTGGACGACCTTCCAGTTCTTGGCACTGAGCAGCTTCGAAACGATACTGAGAGACGCCGCGCCTTTTTGATTCTTTCCTTCTTGGCACACGGATACGTTTGGGGAGAACCGATTGTCCCCGCTATATTGCCTGCTTCTATTGCCGTGCCGTTCGACCAAGTGGCACGAGAGCTCGAAGTCCGGCCCGTGTGCACTCACGCCTCTTTGTGTTTATGGAACTGGCGACCAATTTTCGCGTGCGAAACCCCCAGTCTTGAGAATCTGGCTACCCTTCACACATTTACCGGTAGTACTGATGAGTCTTGGTTCTATCTAGTCAGTACCGCAATGGAAGTGAGAGGCGCGCCGACCCTGCAGCTGACGCTCGATGCTATCGCTGCTGTAGCGGCGAGTAGCGTGAGCACTTTGACAATCAAGCTCCGTGCACTTGCTATTCACTTGGATTATATGGCGGTGGCGTTGGGGCGTATGCACGAGAAGTGCGATCCACACATCTTCTACAACAAGATACGGCCGTTTCTTGCCGGCTGGAAGAATATGTCTGACGCTGGTCTCAGAAATGGCCTCATTTATGAAGGTTGTGAGAACACACCTGAAGGAAGCTTCCGCGCATACTCTGGTGGCAGCAATGCTCAAAGCGCCTTGATTCACATGCTCGACATTGGTCTCGGTGTGGTCCATCAACAAACTGGTCAGACAGCTCTTGATGCAAGCGACTCCAATGGGCCCAATGCGTTTATGCAAGATATGCGGAACTATATGCCGGCAAATCATCGCAGATTTCTTGAAGCTTTGCAGGAGAAGGCAAATGTTAGGCAATTCTGCTTGAAGCACTCAGGCGATTACGAGCTATCTGAAGCATACGACGCTTGTCTAGCTATGCTGAAGGTCTTCCGTGACAAGCATCTTTCCATCGTGTCTCGTTACATCGTCGTTCCAGCTGCGAGTGCCACGAAGCGCGAGTCTGCGAATTATAAAGGGCTCGCAAAAGTGGTCGCCCCGACAAAAGAAGCCCTCAAAGGCACAGGCGGTACGAACCTCATGGCCTTTCTGAAACAGTCTCGTGATGAGACAGGGAAGATTGTTGTATCGAGCTGGGCAAAGCATTTGATGAAGAATTGCTACGGTCAAGTCGGCCTGCAGCAGATGGACCGCTTGACGCAAGTCGGTCTGGCAGGCAATTGGGGAAGCGAGTGGGACGACATAGATGGAGGATTCTGTTCATGAGGAGACGTCAAATACCGTCCCTCTATTATAAGCGCTGGCAGTTCGTAGTTTTTCATCACATATCGTCTCAGACCTCAATGACCACGCCCGCATGCTTGTCGTACCAACCGGTCAAATCAATTTGTATGCCTTGCTTGAGCACCTCAGGCACCACATTACTACCGCTATCGAGCGATACATCCTGCAGCGCCGCGCTCCGATCGAACTCTTTCGACAGCTTACGATGCGTCGATGAGTGGCGATTTGCGCTGTGAGCTGTCTCCTGTTTAAGTCTTTCCATGTTTTCAACTAGAGCCAGCTTCTCGTCCTGGAGCTGCATCAGGTGACTTCGCATCTCGGTCAGTTGTTGCAGAATGCTTCTGTTTTCACTTTGTAGAGTGGCATTCTTAGTCTGAAGCTCAGTCACTTTTGCTTCAGCCTTTGCAGCTGCTTGCAAGGCTATGTCCGCGTTTGCTTTCAGCTCTGACAGAGCCTCTTCGCTATGCGTGACAGGTTGCACATTTTCTTTTGAGGTTGCCTGCAGAGTCGCCAACTCTGCCTTGAGTAAATTGATTGCCGCTTCATGCGAAGCCTTCAACTCGGTCAATTCTTTGGATGATGCCGCTGTGCTTTCTTTTAGCGATGATCGGGCAGCTTCTAGCTCCTGCTTGCTCACCAAAAGAGCCTCCTGACCGTCGGAGGTCTCGTCCGCCTTCTCCTTTGTAGCGTCTGCAACAGCCAGACTATCCGCTGGAACCTCTGCGCTGTCCTCGGTTGCCTTGGAATCGACAGCAGAACTCTCTTCTTGCACGCTCTGCTTCTTCTTCGCCTTCAACTCAGCTGCGCGCTTCTTGGCAGCAGCAAGCTTAGCTTCCTTGTCAGCCATTCCTCAGCTTTCACGCTCTTGCGCTGATGTCTAGTATGCTAAACAGGAGTAAGATGATGCGCAAGGACGTATACGCAGATACCACGTCGACCGATGAGCGTAACGAGCGTTACGTTCTTTTCAGATGGGTCACTCGGCCAATGCAGGGCAGGGCGGGTACATAGCTGGTCGCGTCAAAGTAAATAGATGTAGGTCTACACGCCTCTAGCTTGACACTCGCTTGATGACCGAGCCAGCTTACCAAGCAGCTGCTCCGCCACGGTCGCGGGCAGCGAAATCGATACGCGACGGAACTAACAGGATACGACTGTTCATGGCCCATGGCGCGCATGCTGGTGAACTGGCTCATACATCAATTTCGAGTAAATCGGTAATCTTCAGGATCAGGGCTCGTCTCATAAACTGTTCTCTTGCAAGCGTACGACTATGCTGGATATTAGCGCCAATCATGCCACCAGACAGAACCTTACTTTCAAAAACATGTCCAGATCGAGCCGTTCATTTTCTAGCGCTCTTCCAAGGGCATAGATTGTATCGTCAATTGCTGCCTCTTCAGACGTCAATTCATACAACTGATTGTAGACGCGATTTTGTGCGATCAGACACTCGTCGATATCCAATTGCGGGTTAAGCATCATTTCATTGATGACACCTTTGGCTTTACCGAGCCGGTCAGATAGAACAGATTCGTTCTTTGCGCAAGATGCAATTGTCCGCTCATATGTTGCTTGCGACTGAATCAGATTTGACTCATACTCTTTAAGTCCCTCGACTGCTTTGGCTATCCGCGTGGTCTGCGTACGGTATCCCTGGGCATGCTTCCGCTCTAGGTCGAGGAGAAGGCAGTCCAGCTGCATTCGAACGGAATTCGAAGATGAAGCCTGCGAGCCAGCTGTATTGGGCTTTTGCATCCCAGTGGATGTATCAGAAAGAAAAGGCACGGGTTTACGATTGACCACCTTACGATCAATCGTTGTTCTGATCATGCCTTCACTACCGTAGAGCCTCTGATGCTCTAAGGGATGTCTGATCGTTGCCACGTTGCTTTGCACCGACGAACCAGGTCTATTCAACGCTACAATAGGAGTATCCAGGCGTGCAGGGGGTTTTGGTGGCGCCGGGGGGAGTACACTGTGTTTTGGTCTTGTGAGTTGTCCTAGCGGATCTCCTCCCTCTTCGATATTTGGGTCAGGCTCAGCCAGTGTAGATTGCTTCCGTGGCCTCGGTGGAGCTTGCTGTATTGATGATTTCGTCTGCGACGCCGCATAGGTGCTATTAAGTTGATGCAGGGGAGGCTCCTTGTCGAAGGCTTGCTGCAGATGCAGGAGTGCATCGCGCAAGTTGTGCTTTTGCTTGTTGGCCGACCAGTATGCAAGGTAAGGATGGTAGCATATTCGATTGATGTCAACATAGTTGCTCGGGTTGACCACCATCCCTGGACCAGGATTGATGAGGGCAATGGGTCCTGCTTGTGGATACGCATGTGGCAGCCACAATTGTATCGGCGTGCTCAGTAGAGACCCTCTGCCCTGAGTTGGAATCGCTCCGTTAAGTACAAGAAGAAGACGTGTTTCGCCATCTGCGAATGCTTTTGTCAGCAAGTGAGCTTGATTTGATTCCTCAACTGACTGTAGATATCAGTCCGCGGCCGCAGACTTGGGAAATGATGTAGAGCTTCAGCGACATCTTCATAGATTCTCTGCGGTTCATTGTACTCCTATTGTTGAGAAACCATTGTCTTCGTAATGCGTGCGTAGACTTACCGGCTGGAGCACCTTTCGAAGCCACGCTAGGACTTGGTCTGGCACTCGCGCCATGGGGAAAAGCAATTTATGGCACCGGTTAAGGGGAAAGTGGCAAGAGCAGGGTTATAGCAGCAGCTAGTTCATTACAGTGGCTCTCAGGTGATGAAGCTTCCACTCAGCAAAAGATTGATGACTGCACTCCGTCAAGAGCTGCGCGTCCGTGTGGTCGTTGACTCGTTGCTCGTCGCCGCACGAAATTCTTGGCGCACGCATGATATCCATGAATGCGACTTTGTCACTCTCAGTACTGCAACAGCGTGCCACAAGTGCGCGACGGAGCAGGCCTTCAGTCACAACCAGTTCTCCGGCCTTCGCTATTGACCAAGAGTCATGAGCCGCTACGACGGAGTACAAGGCGGTGAAGAGAGCGCGCTCTGGTCAGGCGCCGTCACAGATCTCAGAACCCTCAAGGACGTCCATGGCACGGGCGAAAACATGGCCAAGCAAATCCAGCGTCTGAAGAAGAATCTTGCTTCCTTGGAAGAAGAGGAAAAGGTTGTGGATACCGTCAGTCGGCTCGAGCGCAATAGCAAGGACTACATCGAAGCGCTTGAGACCGAAACACGGTTGCTTGACCAGGTGCGCGAAAACTTAGGCGTCCTCATTGCCTTACGCCGAGCCACTGAATCTGGCCTCGGTGGTGGTGATGATACGCGGAGGAAGAAGAGGAAACATATTGAAACAGACACCGCTAGTGATGTCGGCAGTCGTTCAAAAAAAGCGCGCAATCCTCAAGAGCAGCTTGGGCCCGGGAGTGCTGTGGCGTTCAGGCAGCCGCGTACAAAGCTATCTGAAGGAGACTGGATCCAGTGCAATATTATCAAAATTACTGGAGAGGGACCAAAGGCCAGGGTTGAGATCCAAGATCCAGAGCCGGATGAAAATGGCCTGCCAGGGCAAACATACAAAACCACGTTGCAGCATTTGATTCCAATTGCAACCGAGAGCGCCGGGCTACCGCCGTACTCTCGAGGCGCACATGTTTTGGCGCGGTATCCAGAGACAACCACCTTCTACAAAGCAGAGGTCAGTCGAACGCGTGGCGATTTTTGCCTGCTCAAATTTGAAGGAGAGGAAGAGGCAGGCAAAGAGACCGAAGTGGAAAGGCGTCTCGTCCTTGAACTGGCGAAGCATCTCACCTGAGCTTTCCTTGGAAGGGCTCTATCTTTCTGGCATTGCCGTTGACTAGGCGCCAACGGACGAGATCAAGGGCTGCCAAGGCGTCTTCGGTCGGGTCGTGGCCTGTAGCGCTGTCGTTGACCTGTATCTGCCTAGCCAGGTACCTGCTGCTCAGATCCTTCAGCTTGAGTCGATATGGTCTACCTCTCGGGTGTGGAAAGAGAATAGCCGAGTCGATAACCCGGTGGTGCACCAATCTCAAAGCCGTTAGATCATTGTCCAGGCCATGACCGATCAAGATGGTATCTCGATGCATGCCAATATGAATGAGTTGCTGATGCATCTCTTCGAAACTGATGGCGCCGTCCAAATTGTGCTGCATGACGCCAGAATAGGTGGTGTTGAGATCTAGTACAGGAAATGCAGGCTTGACGAAGCGGTCAAGCAAAATATCGCCTTGACTCGAGATAACACTGACCCGAGCCAGCTCCATCGATGCAGTGGTATAAACCATTTCACAATCGAGCGCAGCGACGTCTAGGCTCTCTTTCCTACGCATGGGGAGTTGCCGGTATGGCTGATACGCTGCCAGGCGTGGTTCATGTGTAATCTTGAACACATGAGTGTGACCAACAACGCAGCCCGTCCCAGTCTGCTCGCAGCATGGCCAAGTCGTAATCCTTGTTCCATCAACCTTCTTGTACACGGGACGTGCAGGATGGTAGGTGCATGATTGCCATTTGTCCTTTGACACAATGAATCGCTCAGCGCATCGATCACAAACTCTGTCGTGGCCAAGCTCGTCTCCTTTCCCGTCACTTGTTGGAATTTCTAAACAATATCCCCAGTTTCGAAGCTCCCCGATAGAATGTACGAGATTTTCCCACGTGAGATCCTTGGGAGCTATTATCTGCCACTCTGGAAATATGCCTGTGTCTGTCTCATTTTCAGCCAATGGTCTCTTGCGAAGGCTGAGGAGTCCATTCGTGGCGGCCGCTCTGTATGTCAGCGGCGTACAAGTCGTCTTGAAGTAGTTCTCCTGCTCGGTAGCGTGATCGGGTGGATTTGGCAGATTTCCGTATATTCTTGAGAACTCTTTTCGGAAAAGATCATGAAACTTGAGCCGCTGTTCGTGAGGTATCTTGCACAGTGGGTCAAATCTAAGTTGCTCATCGGATTTCGGAGTCGAGCCAACGTATTTGGGATTGGCGGGGTTTCTGACGATTGATGAGACAATTTGTCGTTCTTGTACTTCCGAGGATGAAAGCTCTACTGTTTGGCATTGTTGGTCCCCCACGAGGCGTGTTTCCTGCACTGACGCATCGTGTAGCTTCCGACGTTTCTCATGGTGGAGGCTTGTGTCGGAGGTCCGACGTCCCACCTGCGCAACGGTACTTCCGCTCAAGGTACTTTTCCGCTTTGCTGTGATGGCATGTTGAAAGAAACAAGCTTGTTCCACATCACACTTCGCAAAGGGGCATGTAACGTGCCTTAGTAGGCCTCGGTGTCGGAACATTGAAACTTTTGGCTTCTGAACCCAAAGTGCCTTTATGACTCTTTAGGCAGATATCGTTCAATGGAACTTTGAGCCAATGATGTGTAAGTCACGTTGAAATTGTTACCGCCTAGGCTCCAATTTCAGAGCTAAGCACTATGGCCCTGTGGGCCAGTAGTTTGGGAATATATTCCGTGCAACGGTGATCTCAAAACTAGCAACTTTCGTAAAGGTATTGACTACTTGCGAGATAAGTTATGCGCGAGACATCCTGAACAGCCCGTGAGCACGAGTGACTGGAGCGGAATAGACGTGGACGTTGATCAGGGATAGGCATAGGCATAGGCCATAGCTACGTTGCGTGGTGCAACGCCACTGGCGTGCGAATTTGTTGCAGGGCTGCGGCGACAACTAAACTTCACAGCGTGGATTCCGTGGAACCACTCTCGAAGAAGACACTCAAATTTCTGAAAGCTTTCTTGCTCATTTGGATGCTGGTTAACCCTGTTCGCTAGCGCCTTCCTCGCCTCAGCTACCGCAAATCTGCGGTTTGACCATGAAATGGAATATGATTCCAGCTTTTATCGCTTTGGTCTGCACATTTCTAGATATGCAAAGCGATCGATCTTGATCACTGGTGGCTTGGGTTTCGCAGTCGTCTATCCAGCACTGCACAATGCATTGGATTATGGCTTTCCGTCCGCAACTGGATGGTACATGCGTGACTCTGTCAAAATGGCAACCGATCATACCAACATTGCACTCTTGCAGCTTGCACCGTGCTTCTCATCTGCCCCAGCAGCATTGCTAGTGCAAGCAGAACAATTGCACATCGAATTATTGAATTTGCTCGGCGATTTTTGTTACAGAACTGGTCCCTTGTGCCTCACGCATACGCTGTTTGACGCTCCGCAGCAAGACTGGCTGGCGATCCTGACGTTGCGACGAACTCGAAAGAAGATTCCAGGTACATATCCAGTCGCAACACGCAGCCTCGTTGACCGTGTCATCATTGGCAGGGGTGTGCAAGCGCGTTGCCTAACGCTGTCATATTTTATCAAGGCCCAATCGGAAGCGATGGACCAACTCGTTGCGGAGCGCGCACAGCAGATTTGTGCAAGGCATGCAGATTGCGAATCGATACTCAAGATGGACTTACTGAAGTTGGAGAAAGTTGCCATCTCATGGACAGAACAAATGATTTTGCTTGCAGGATACTCGGCTGTCCTTGCGTATCTCTTCATCTCCTTCAGGCGTCTACGACTGGTTCGTTCTCGGATAGGTCTCGCGGTCACGAGCTTCGTCTCTATAACGTTTGCTGTCCTTGGTGCATTCGATTTAGTCTATCTGTTTGATGAATCGAGCAGTCTGTCGCCCTTAGCAGTATTACCATTCATGGTGATGGTGCTCGAAACGGAAAATATCTTCCGGGCGACAAACGCTGTCACGCGTATTCCTCGAACCCTATCTCCTGCGCAGCGCATGTCCGAGGCGATGCGTACTGTTGGGCCAACAGGGCTACATGCTCTTGGTGTCAATCTTTGCATCATCGGAATGTTTGGGTACGTTGCCAATTCTGCTTTGCGTCAATTCTGCGGTATCTTGGCTGTGGCTTTAGTCTTGTCCTACGCACTTCACTTGACTTTCTTCTGCGCAATCATGTCGATCGATGTTCGCCGTACAGAGCTCATGGATCTGCTCAACGAGCGACACCAGATTGCTCCGCGGTTCTTGGAGTCTTATTTTCCGGTCAGTACGCGGAGAGTCGGGTCATTCATTTTGACTGTTTTTCTCTTCATCTGCTGGTCTAGCTTGCCGGCTAGTAGCCCATTCGATCGCGGCAATGAGAATCTAATGAGACTCCCGGTCGACACGGTCCTGACGCTACTCGAAAAGCAACAAGTTGACTTGCGTATCTTGTCCTATTCTAATCGTTCGAGAACTCGCATATTCTCGGACACGTTGCTGAAGGAAATCGCTCAGGGTCATCCAAAACACACTTTGCTTCTTTTTGTCCTGGTCATGTTGAGTACCTATGCTCTTGTAACTGGCCTCATCTCTCGAAGCGGTGACGATGAAGTTGCACTAGACTTACATCACGCTCACATTCAGGCCAGCCATGCGCAAGTAGAAGAGCATGCAGAGATAGCGATGCTTCTTCAATTATCGGTGAGCCAGGTTTTGCTCATTTTGCTCGATGGCACACTTATTCTTCACGATTTGGCAGCAACTTCTCGTGTTCAATTAGGCCGGGCAGAGCTAGGCTCACAAATATGGAGACTATCTGATGATGGATTCATTCTTTTCACTATTGGTCGACGGACTAGGTGGCGTGCCTGGTCTTTGCCTGATGGCAAGGCTTTTGCTCTGCCGCATTTGGCTAAGGAGGATGCCTCGATCTTAGATGCGAGCCTTTCTGAGGGGCATTTTCGCGTTATTTGGTCAAACGGTGTTTTTCTTGACTACGAACGTTCCTGTATGCGAACTGAGAGCGCTTGTATCGAAAATATCACCCGAGCCTTGTTTGTTGGTCCAGCGTTGCTGCTTGAACTTCAAGGGTCTTTTTGGATATCGCATACTAGTGGAAAGCCATTTGACGTGGACAAGCCAATTTGCGATATCAAGCGTATTGATGACACTACTGCGGCTTTCATTATCCCCAGTCACGTACTTGTCTACGATGTTGCCAAGCAAGTCTTGATTCGCTCAATTTCAGTGCCAAACAAGGCAGAAGCAATTCGCATCGAGCGCTGCTCAAAAGGCTTTGCCGTAGCATACTTGAACGAAACAGACGCAAAGCAGCTTACACTACTCGAGGTAGCAGACTCTGGATCGGAAAAGCAAACAAGTCTTCTTTGCGAAGAGTTCTGGGCTCTGAATGCAGAGGAGAGCACGATTGTGACATTCGTTTCGCAATTCAATGCTTACTATGGTTGTGTAGGCGAAAATTAGACTCTAGACCCCCTTTCCTGGTCACTCTCGTCGTCGGAGACTTCAAAGACATCGCCGTCCTCAAGATCCGTCGACTCCTCATCTTCCAGAGACGAGTATGAAGCCCAGCATAAAATCCCGAATGCCACGCCAATTAAGACTCCACCTGCAATAGCCGCCAGGCTCAGGGGTTTTCCTGTAATGAATGTATCAACGATGGCCACCATGAAAATGGACAGCAGGGATGCGACACTTGCGAGCACGGGTGAAGTGAGTGAAATCATTGCCAGTAAACATGAACTGTAGATGAAATTGGCGGCGACAGATGCAATAAGTGCCCAGACAGCAGCCGCTGGCGGAGCTTCGAACCGTTCCCAGCCGATAATGTGAAGTAATGGAATAGGAATCCACATAATTGTCAACGTAAAGAGGCCTAGAGCAGTGGCCATGGCATTCGCAAAAATGATTGACTTGCCTGGCTCATATTGGTCAGGAGGACAACCCAACTTCTTGTACAATACCTCGTAGAGACCATACAGCACCGCTCCGATTGAGATGATCAAATTGCCAAGAGTACGTCTACTGGAATTCGCAGTGTCGTCCGAGGGGTCAGAATCACCGTAAGCAATGACAAGCACGCCGAGCACACTCAGGCCTACAGCAATCAATTTGTCTAACCGAACTCTCTCTTTGAGCAGCGGAATGGAGAACGCGTAAGCAAAGAAGGCTGAAGAGTTGTAAATTGCACTGAGATCCGAGGCTGTCGTCATGTTGACGGCCAGGTACCATGTAGTGGCGGCCACAGTTAAGCAAAGACCGCAAATTGTGATGACTGCACTCATGTGAAGTATCATTGAGCGGTCACCTGCGCCAGACTTGGCCATGACGGCACGAGCAGTGTCACTGATATCGCTCAGCATGCGCTTGGTTACGACAGTTGTAGATGTGCCAGGTTGTCTTAGCCGCAGCCAGACCCACATTCCAACACCATTGAGCCACCACGAAGAGTGCGTAACGTAGAGCATGAAGTACGGCTTCTCATAGTGTAGCTTTGCCTGGATATATTGCGCCAGCTCTGTTTGAATGGTGAAGCATACGAGGGAAATTGGGAGGGCAATTCCAATCGCGTAAAGATAAGCGCTCCTGGAGGCATCTGCACTTGACTTGACAGTTGCAAAAGATCTGAACGTTGCTTGAGATTGTGTCCTGCGTCGAGCATTGGCAGCAGTTTCGTGTGCTTCATCTTCCTGGTCCGCGGACGACAAAAGAGCGGCTCGACTGCTCATGCGATTGAGGTTCTGCTCGGACATGAATCGAAGGGACACCAACAGCCGTGAGCATGTCCCGATGGCTGCTGGACGGATGCTGTTTGGCGAAGAAAAAGAGCGGTGGTGGTCGAGTGGTTGGGCGTCATCTGCCTCTATGGATTCAGTCACTTTTGCCCCGACGTCGACGCGACGCTCGCCATTGCCACGACCCACTTTGGACATGAAAAGACGAAGTCTATGCCACGAGCTATAAAGCAGTCAAAAGGTCACGCAGAACTCATATGGAGCACGTCTCGTAGCAAGCACAACATCTGCTTGCTCCTTCTTGCTTTACGGGTCCGTCTCGCTAACTATTCGTCGACTGCTTTTTGGTAGATAACGCAAGACTGCAAGAAACGATAGAGCGGCAACCACACAGAAGATCGAAAATACGTAGCCTATTGATTAGTCCTGGCATGCAGCTTGAACGCCTACCTCCCATGGCGTGCCTGAGCACGGGAAACAGTATGCCAATAGTAAATGTGCCGATCCAATTGACTGACAGACCCAGACTTTGCGCAAAACCGACGGCTTCCACATCAAGCAACTCATTTGCAAGCAAGAAAGGGATTGGTCCCAAACCGAGACCGAACGAGCCAATCATGCCGACAGCCGAAGCAGCGGACAAGTAAGGCATACTTCGCTCCAAGCCGATGCATAGAGATAGGGAGAAGACGCACATGCCAGCAAGTGACATAAGGAGCAGGGCTCGTCGACCGCTTCGCTCAATCAGATGCGCCGCGAGAAGCGTTACAAGAAAATTGACCATCTGAATGAGTACTGCTATCCAGGCCGACAGCTTGGGCAGGAGCCTTGAGAGGATCGCAGTTGAGTAAAAGATGACAGCATTTGTACCCGTCAGCTGCTGTGCAAGCTGTGTAATGAGTATGATTCGAATGGCACTTCGATACTCCTGACGTGTGGCAAATTCACGCAACGACAACGTAGCATGAGGGCTGGCATCTGACAGCAAGTCTTGATCACCGGCTCTGTTTCTGTCAGCGCCTTTCCACATGCGCACTTCATCGTCGACATCAATGCAGGCCCGAATCTTTGATAGTGCTTGATGCGCGAGTGGCAACTTCCCAGGCTGCAAGGCGAGCCATTTGGGGGACTCGACCGTGGCAGTAAGCATGGCAAATTGAAGCAGAGCCAGGATGAATCCGACGAGTAGTATATATCGCCAAAGCATGCCCTCTGTTAGAAAGACACCGAGAACTTGAGCAAGCATGATGCCAAGCACAATAGATATCTGCGTCATGACGCCAACTGTGCCCCTGATCTGCTGAGGCGATACTTCTGATAGATAGATTGGAACAGAGACCATTGATACTCCGCTTCCAATGCCAACGACAAACCGACCGAGAACAAGAGCAGTCAGACCATTTGCAGATGCCATGAAGAGTGATCCAAGAAGGAACACAGAGCAATTCAGTAGGGAGACTTTGCGCCGCCCGTAACGGTCAATGAGACTTCCGGCACAAAGAGAACCTACGAGACCTCCGATAGCAAAGACAGCAACAACAGCTCCTACTTGCTCTTCAGTCATCTTGATACAGTCTAAGAAGGCTGGAGTAAAATGGTTGCTCTTCTTTGAGCCATATTGGCAGGAGATTGACAGAGCAATGGGGTTGATCTCTCCGATATGATAGCCAAACATGGCAGAGCCCAGAGCATGTGACGTGATCGAGTACACCAAAAAGGGTGTCATAGTACCCATCGCTCTTGGTGATAGGCGGAGACAGAAGAGACCCTCACATAAGCTGTGTTGTTTGAGGCTTGCTGCTGCTGTTTCCTTGTAGAATGCGCGCAGGACGACCACGCACGCTCCCTCTTGCTCCCAGATCCAACGCTCAAGACTTCTTAGATCCCATACTTTGTGCTCCTGCTTCTCATACTTGCACTGATCATTCTCTTGCATGCTGCTTGCTTATGGAACGGTACTTTGCTCGAAAGAACAAGGCGCATGTCAAGGTGCTCGACAAGTACGTGATTCTTGGCTTCATCTCCAGCGGCACATATGGCAAAGTCTACAAAGCAAAGTCGAGCTTCCTAGATGACGAGCGCGAGTACGCCATCAAGAAATTCAAACCAGATCGTGACGGACAGGCAGTTGCATACACGGGTCTTTCCCAGTCAGCAATCCGAGAGATGGCCTTGTGCCGTGAGCTACGACATGAGAACCTGGTCAACCTCCACGAGATAATACTCGAAGACAAGTGCATCTACATGGTTTTTGAATACGCCGAGTACGATCTGTTGCAAATCATCCACTACCACGTCCATCAACCCAAGCCGCAGCAAAAGATTCACGATGCCGCAGTGCGCTCCATCATGGCGCAACTGATACAGGGCGTCGACTTCTTACACAAGAACTGGGTGATGCATCGGGATCTCAAGCCTGCCAACATAATGATCAATAAGAATGGCCAAGTCAAGTGTGGTGATTTGGGTTTGGCGCGTCTCTTCTTCACCCCCTTACAACCCTTTTGGGCTGGTGACAAGGTCGTGGTCACAATCTGGTATCGTGCTCCTGAACTGTTGCTCGGGGCGAAGCACTATGGTCCAGCTATTGACATGTGGGCTATCGGGTGTATCTTTGCAGAGTTGCTCGTGCTGAGACCACTATTCAAGGGAGACGAAGCAAAGGTGGACAACAAGAAGCAGGTGCCTTTCCAAAGGGAGCAGCTGAAGAAGATCATCGATATGCTGGGGAAGCCGACTCCAGAACGTTGGCCTGATGTGGTCAATATGCCAGAGTACAACCAGCTCAAGACTTTTCGCGCGCAGCACTATGCTAATCAGCTTCCCAACTGGTATAACCTTATTGGACCCATGGCAGCGAGTCAAGAGGGTCTCAAATTACTTATGAGTCTGTTGGAATACGACCCTACTAAGCGTCTTAGCGCTGAAGATGCCTTGAAGCACCCTTACTTTCAAGAGATGCCGAAATACACGTCAAACGCCTTTGAAGGGACGGGCGTCATCTATCCTAATCGGCAGATTCGGGCAGATGATACGGACATGAGCCATGTTGTCCCTGTGAAGAAGGTGACCACGACTGCGAATCAAGCTAGCTCATCTGTTGCCGGTAAGCGTGGTCATGATACCGTGGGAGGCACGACATCTGGTGCAAAAAGGGCGAAGTAGGAGGATTCATCAGGTTAACTTTATGCTTGTACAATAAACCTTAATGAATGCTTCACGCCACTGCCGCTGGTGCCTTACTCGCAGCCTTCCTGGCTGCCTCTGCTGGGTTAGCCGGCAGCACAATCTTGCCGCTCGCCAAGTCATCGGCAAGATAGCCTCGCTTCTCCTTCATGGTGTAGAACTCGAGATCCTTGCGACGCGTCGGTAACGCTGGCTTTGGCAATTTGGCAAAGGTGTGTGGTTTAAGGAGCGCCCTCATTGAAAGAGCATTGCGGTATGTGCAAACGATGCTGCCACCCACAGCTTCAATTCTAGCAATAGCTTCGGCTGATGCTTTGGTGACGTCCAGCTGGACAGGTGTCTTGAGTGCTTCTTTACCACCTGCAAGCAGCTTGACGCCGTCTTTGATTCCATGAATGACGTTGGACTCGACAAGATCCTTCATGGATATCGGTTTCGATGGGTTTATTCTACCGAGATCGATCCAGAGCTGTAGCTTGCCCAGGTTCAAAGGGCTCAAGTCTTCCTCGCCCGAATTGTTGAAGCCGCGCTTGGGGAACAGGCGCGAAATGGGTGTCTGTCCTCCTTCGAAGCCCCGTGGAGCACCGTTGCCTGATCTTGCCTTTTGTCCCTTGTGTCCTCGACCTGCAGTCTTGCCCTTGCCGCTTCCTGGTCCTCTGCCGAGCCGCTTGACATTGTGAGTTGCGCCTTCATTGTCGCTGAGCCTGTTGAGGATGGACATGCTCCTGAGTGCGGTGCATGCTGCAACAGGTGCCGATGCAGCTTTGAGCATGAGTGCGTGCATGTCTCCCTTGCCAAGCTGCTCTCTCTCTATCTCGTTCTCACTCCCGAGCCCGTCACTCCTTGCAATAGCTGCTGGTGGTGTCGAGTGAACGAAAACTCAGCAGCAGACCACACAAACTGCCACTGCAGAGACCACACACACAGCACATTCAAGGGCGCAGCAGACTCCTGAGGACCAGCCCGAGTGTGCAGCCTCGTCCACGTCAAAGAGACGTCCTATCTTGTACTTCAAGCGCCAAGTCCGCCAGTCTGCATCTTTGAGCGGCACTCGACGCGCTCCATCCCTTTTCATTAGCCATGGGCGCGAATCTGTCTAGAGCCATGGGCAAGCTCTTTGGAAACAAGGAGATGCGCATCCTTATGCTCGGCTTGGATGCAGCGGGCAAGACAAGTACGTGTGCCTTATCGCGCTTCTAGCATGAACACCTAGACTAACAACGCTTCAGCGATTCTGTACAAGCTCAAGCTCAATCAGAGCGTCACCACCATTCCTACTGTCGGGTTCAATGTCGAGACGGTGACTCACAAGAATGTCAAGTTCAATGTCTGGGATGTCGGGGGCCAGGATAAGATCCGGCCCCTGTGGCGCCATTACTATACAGGCACGCAGGCGCTCGTATTTGTCATTGACTCTGCCGACCGGGATCGCATTGACGAGGCACGCCAGGAGCTGCATCGTATCATCTGCGACCGCGAGATGCGGGAAGCGCTGCTACTCGTCTTCGCCAATAAGCAAGATCTACCAGGCTGCATGCCCCCAGCTGAAGTGACAGAGTGTCTGCAACTCAACAAGATGAAGGACCGACAGTGGCTCGTCAAGCCAAGTTGTGCCGCGACTGGTGAAGGTCTATTTGAAGGACTCGCTTGGCTCTCTACGAATGCAAAAGTTCCCATCAAAGGAGGACACTGAGATGTGGTCGTCTGGCACGATCCGTCCCATCTTACGCAGTCGCCTTTTTGCATGGCATCTTCTCGCCTGATGCTCGAGAGCGCCTCCGACGAAACAACTCCTTGTTCAATTCTTCCCTCTTCTGTCTTTTAAAGGTTGTCCTTTTCTCACAGCCCCAGCCTCAGAGCTGATCAGTAGGCCATACTCCACTAATACTGTTTTTGTGCCTTGTACCCTTGTCGTTTCTTTACTTCTTCTTACAAGTCTCGTAAAAGGTCCTCGCTTGAGCTTCGAGGACGTCGAGCGTGCTTTCGGGCAATTCCTCCGTGACCAGTCCAGGTTGGCCTTTCACAAAAGACAGTGACGCAATGACACTGAATGGAGGAAGCACTGTTTCATCCTCTATCCAGACGCCGTCCTTGATGATACAGAAGTTGCCGATCTGGCAACGCTTGCCAATGTGCACGTAGCTGCCGATGTTTGCGGCTTCAATCGTCGTTTCCTCACCGATATGGACATAGTCGCCTAGCTTGAGGGGCCAGTACTGAAGTTCGCCCTTGACTTGCTTGCTAGGAGGCTTCAATGTACACCCCTTGGAAAGCAGACAGTATCGACCAATCGTCACTGCTGTAGGCGCTGCTGCACCAGCTAGTTTCGCAGAAGGTGTGCGTTGTAGATCCCCTCTGATAGTGCAGTGCGACTGGATGATGGTCTTGCCACCCAGGATGATGCTCTGGGTATTGACGAGATTCAAGCCGACACGCGAAATACGGTTGCCAGTCTCCGTTTCGATATACTCAGGCCGTTTGGAGCGCGAGCTTGATTTGACTTTGGACATACAGGCAGCTAGCTAGTCTGAGAGCGTCAGGAGCATCTACTCGGGCGTCACCAGCAGGCCCTCATCTATGTGAAGCAGTAGCAGCAGAAGAATGAGACTGGCAGTTGAGGTGGTCAGCGGGCAATAATCCGCACTTCATGGGCCATCGCTCCCGGATTTCTGGAGACACAAAGCAGCTATTCCTGATAGACACGGAGCAGCATTAAAAAATTGGGTATGAAGGTGTTCTAGCGCTAGGCCGCCCGAGCGCAGCCATTCTAGGGATCATTATTGAGGCCGCGCACACGAGCGAGGAAGAGGAGCGAAGATGCTGGAGATCGCAATGGAGATTGTGTGGGAAATCGATCAGTTCACCCGGGCAGCAACACACTTCTGTTGCTCCAATGTCTCCCTGTTTTGCCGCCGGAGCTCTTCCTTTGCGCTTGCCAAGCCTGAGCAGGCATGTTGCTCCAGTAACCGGTGTTTTGCGCAGAAGTGGCCCGCGCACAGGGAGCAGTCGAGTCCACGGAGCGCAGGCACAGAGCAGTCCGCCTTTTGGCAACGCTTCTTGGGTGCGCCACCTGGCATACGCATACTAACCATGATGGTCTGTCCATCTTGAAGCCGCGCCAAGTCAAGGGGCCGGCCGGCAGAGGTGAGTACTTGGTCTTGTGCCGCAATGTGTGTGTGCGCCTGAATGCAGGCGGGGAGAGAGGCAAGATCCTCTGTGCTGAGGACGGTGGTGCGATCTGCCTTGAGGAGGAGCTGCATTGTAGGCTGAGTGAGGCAGATGTGCTTTGGAGAGGGTGTGATGGGAGGGTAAGGGCAGGGTGTGATGATGTCTTGAGATAAGTCGCTGACTCGCTGGCTGGGTTTGCGTGGCGACGCGCGGCCTCCAGGCTCAACACCAACCCAGCAATCAACTGCCACGGGATTGCCTGAAACAGCCGGCCGCAAGCATAGATAGCGACAGCAAACACACCCTGGAGAGCATGGCGACTTCTCTTCAGGCGGGCATGTCCCGGTCAAGTGTGGCTGCTTCGGGCAAATTCGATTTTGTGTTTCATGTGAGTCTAACATACACATGCTATGCTTCTATAGGCAACTATTTGACATATGCAGTGTCACCAGTGCCGGAACTTTGCCTTAGTGATCCGATACTGTCTTCGTCTTCTTGCAGCTTCTTGAGCGTGTCCGCCATGAGTACTTTGTGCCATCTCAACAGAGCCAGGCGTCTATCAACAGGCAACAGCAGCCCTCGCGTCAAGTGCATCACCCTGTCTACATACCCATTGAAACCATTTGACATGCCGCACTGAGGTCGCAGGCTGCTTCCAAGATGGGTGAACCTGTACAGCTGCCTACTGAAATATGGCAAATGATTCTCGAAAGCCTGACTCTGCAGCCCCATCTAGACAGCACTCGCAATGCTCTACTGCAGCTGAGCCTTACGTGCAGGACCATCCGGCCAATAGCTCAGACTTTTCTCTGCCGAGATCTCTTTTGCAAGCAGCCCACAGTGGAGTCGCTCAAGACAGCCCTCAAGCTTGCTGCCTTACATGACTTGCTACCGCAACAAATACACTTTGGGAGGTATCCTCTCCGTTCTCATGCCAAGGAGATTGGCTCAGACATCAACACGAAGGATGTTCAAAGTCAGAACACGGGCTTAAAGGTATTGAGTGAGCTCATGTGTCTTTGTAAGCCATCGAAAGATACTTGTGTGAGCAAGTTGAGCGTCCTCACCTGTAACAATGACAATTTCGATGTTGATGGCTGCCTTGACAGTGGTCGCCGAGAGAGATCTATCACGGATCGGGACGTTACGGTCATGTATGTCAACCAGACTGGACATAGGCCCACAGCCAGCCAGAGGAACTCCACGCACATTAACGATTCGTTGTTCTCTGCTCTGACACATTTGTCGCTGCAAGGCAGATTCATTAGCCTGTCGCTCAGCTACTTTGATGAGCTTCGATTCATCTGTCTCAATTCGACGATAGTCCACACTGACCTTTTACAGCACTTGGACACATGTTGTCCGATGCTTGAACACCTCGTCCTGGTCGCTCCTAGTTTTAGTGAGTACCCCTACAGCAATTTCTTGCTAATGGTGCCCACTTTCCGGCCACGTCTGACTGTCATCAATCCCAGGGCAAAAACTATCAACGACCCGTACTTTAAGCGCATCCATCGCGACAATACCTATCTCGAGGACTGCGCTCGGGACAGGCGCGTATACGACCTGCAAATATATCGTGTCTCTTTGGAGCATCTCGGGGGCAGTCAAGCGTGGTCCGATGCAATTACGAAAGCAATCCAATCTAGTTCTATCTGGGATATGGCACTCTCATTAGGACAGCGTTGTGGGAGAAGCACGGGTCTCTCGGTTCCATACTGATCTACCAGTTACAAGATTTCGCCAGCAAAGCAGCGTACTGCTCCAGGTACTTTCGATCTTCTTCGTCAAACCCTTCTAGCTCCTCGCAATCAATGTCAATCACCCCGACGACCTTGCCATCAGCAATGATAGGTACCACAATCTCAGACTTTGTTTGGGAATCGCAGGCAATGTGGTCAGGGTGCGTGTGGACATCCTTCACAAGACCAGTTTCTGCTTGTAGGGCAGTTTGACCGCAAACACCTTTGCCAAATCGAATCGTCTGACAAGCAACTTTGCCTTGGAAGGGTCCGAGAATGAGTTGATTACTAGTGTTTGGATCCAAAACGTAGAAACCTGCCCAATTCACCTTATTGGAGGGTGATGGCAATGAATGGAAGCCGTGCCATAGCAAACTGGCAGCATTGGCCAGATTCGCGACCCAATTTCGTTGGCCCTCGAATAGAGCTATAGAAGATTCAAGCACCTGTTCGTATACCTCTTGCTTAGTAGCATTCTGGCTAAAGGAAGAAGCATCTGCGTGCACCTAACGAATTAGACAAGCTAGAGTTTGATGGGCCAGTACCATGCTAGTCTAGATTCGGAGCTTTGCACTTATTGTTAGATAGCAAGCTAAAGCAGAGCCAGTGATAATATTATTGAAGAGATGGACAAGTGTCTTCTGCACTGGGCCCTTGAGCTTGAGCTTGCAGATGTCGTGCCCGACACATCATCTGTCTACTGCTCACGTGCCAAAATTGTAATTCGCCAGGGAAGCCCATCTGAACAAATTCTCGTTGGCCGCGGTTGCATGTGGGCAGGTGAGCTGCGTCATAAGGACTCGACTTGCACAACGACTCTCTTGCAATCTATCCTGTAGCATTCCTAGTCCCAGATCCACTGTCATGATTGCTCTTGTCAAGTCTCTCCTAGTATGGGCGATCTGGACTGGTTGGCACAGCACATGCTATTCGATCAAGCTCACAATCCTGCTCCTCACGAAGCTTCCTCTCTTATCCTACATCGCATGGGCTACATTCTCATCGCTTGCAGTCATCGCTGCACTCAGTCCAGATTTGGTCTCTCAATATCGACCACTGGTTCGCAAAGCTGCACTGTTCAATTGTGTTGCTCTTAGCGCAGTCTCTGAAGTTCCACACCTGATTATCGTCTTGAAGCTCTTCTTCATTGGCTTCTCAAGGATCTATGGCACTTACAGAGCTGTTATCAGCTGGCCGTTTCTGTTGTTAGACATCATCTCATTAGCTGGGTGTCTTGGCATACTATACCACCAAGCCGAGGACGTACAGACAATGGTGGAGCAAGCTGCACCATTCTTGGAAAGAGACTCGACTCGTTTTGACGCCTTCAACCTTCTTGTTGAAGTCTTTGCGCCTCTATGGAGAGAAGATGAGCTTGTCTGTTTCAAGGACGCTGGTTACTTCGGCGCAGAACAGCTTCGCGAAAACAGTGTCAAGCGTCTAGTGCTCGAAGACACTGGTACCATGGACATTTACAGCACAGGGTTTCCTCCAGGCTCAAACAAGCCAATTGTCATCAACATCCACGGAGGCTCTTGGTCACGAGGATCCAACAAGGTGCCAAATGCCGTGCTCACCACCATGGCACGGTCAGGCGAAGTTCTTGTCATGTCCATCAATTTCCGTCTCGCTCCAAAGTTTCCACTGCCAGCTGCCATCATTGATATCAAGCGTGCCATCATATGGGCAAAGAAAGCTGCCAAGAATTTTGGTGGAGATCCAAATAACATCATTCTCATGGGCGACTCCAGTGGTGGTCATTGCGCTCTCTTGTCTGCCTTGACTGCCAACATTGAGGCTTTCCAAGAACAAACCCCCGATGCAGACACAAGTGTGCAGGGCGCGGTCCTCCTTTGTCCTGCGCTTGATCCTACAAACAAATTCAATATCAGTCATCGCTCGGGTGAGGATAGCTGGTTCGTTAGAGCATGCTGTGGCGGAGACGAAGCTGCAGCAAAGCTGGTGCATCCATTAGAGTATGCTTCCAAGGATATGCCACCTCTACTCTCGCTACATGGTACGGCTGATACCCTTGTAGACATCAAAAACAGCAGATGCTGGCAAGCAAGATGTGCGGAGATTGGTGCAAAGGACAAGTTTGATCTTGTGGAGATGCCTCGAGCTCATCACGTCTACTTTATCTTCAGGAGCATTCGAACCATTGCTGCAGGTTTGATTGCTGTCGACTGGATCCAACACAGATCAAAGCTCACAAAAGACAGATAGAGAGGATCAGAAAAGCAATAGATGAATTCGTCTACTCGTTTTTGCCTCCCCTTTCATCTTGCATGCCAATCACGGGGCCTGGAGCCTTGGAATGCGTCTCTTTCTTCTCCCCCTTTGGTGGTCCTGCATTCTTTCTCTCCTCCATACCTTCTTTTACTGCCTAAGGTTGTTAAATATGCTGCAGTCATGTGCTCAATTACCTTGGACTGGATATTGTGATCCTTGTCATCCTTACTTGTGGCGTGACCTTGCGAAGACGGCTTTTGATGAGAATGAGAATCTTTGATGGCGTATGCGCGCGTCAGCGGCACTCTTAGCTTCTGGCTCGCTTGCAGATATGTTCGCAACATGTTGGTAAGGATGATAGTTTCGCAAAGTCTTCTACGTCATGATAAGTCGCGTTGCGGGGTGCTTTCAGCTTCAGATGGCTCTGTCTGGGAATATACAATGACAAAAGCTTGCTGCTCTATTCATTTCCTGAGCTCAAAGCGTTTGACATGATCGAACTCCTCATTGTTCACCATCATCACAAGCAGCTGTCCCTCGCGACTATATCCGAACACAAAATTCGGGAATCTCGTGTCGACAGAATTCAGGCCCTATCATCACTGTGCATGCTTGCCAACACTCGGATTGAGAATAAGCATGGCCACAAAAGACAGGACCAAGAAGAGTATTGCCGACCCCGCAAGCGACGCTACCAAAAGTCTGCTGACGGGGAATCGATCTTCAATTAGCAAAACTGGGTGAGAACTTATGGCGTACCTCGTCTCAACGCTTGTTGCACGGTAAAGTATCGACTCGCACCCCCAAGAATGACAAGCATCGCAATGGCAATCAACGACGCTCCCGCTGGTTTGCCAATGCGGCGTAGCTGCTGGAGCTGCTTTTGTGCATCTTCTGAGGCATTCTTGGAAGTATCTAATCTCAGAAATTGAGTGACAGCAACGCCTCTGAATGTTAGAGTATTTCTAGAATATAGGCTTCGTACGCAGAAGCGAAAGATAGGCTTGTTCTTAGCCATGCGAGAAACTGGTATGAGTATCGTACAAAGAGTCCGACGCAAGCTTACAGTTCGCTCGTTTGCAAGATGATCTCTAGCAACACTTTGGGTATTCTGTAGCTCGACCGATAGATAGTCGTGCCAGATGCTGACGATCCAGCTCAAGGGTTTGTATCGAACTCTGTGTATAGACTCATCGCACGAGGGCGCATTTGACTGTAGTAGCGGGCTGAACTCGTTCGTAGCTGAAGTAGCTATTCCAGATGAAGACACCAGATCGTGCGAGGCCGGACGCAAGCTCTTGTTGGCCATCACGACGATCGATACGGTAATCCCAGACCAAGGAGTCTACGTCGAGTAAATCAAGATCGAAAGCACACTTCAGCTAGTGCAAGTAGCAGGGAAGCTGAGCTGGAGCTTTGCATCAGCAACAAAGAGCAGGTCACTCAGGCAGGGATGCGCTCTCTGTCGTCGAATGCTCGCTGTGTCGCAAGAGAGTCAGGAGATGGCGCCATGAGTCGCTGGCGGCCGGCACTAAATTCCTTCTTTCGGCGCCCTACAACGCGACAACTCGAGTCTCGAGGCTGCTTGTGTACCGTACAAGAATTGCAACATCTGTCTACGTGAACAAAGTGCTAGCTTGTCTGTCTTCGTAGTCCGCGCAAAGTGAAGCTCACTTCACTGCCTGATGGAGACTCCTACCTCAATTTCCAATAGCACAAGCCCAGAGGCTGCCAACGGGGAAACTGCACCTTGCCACGAATGCTCCTATCGCGGCTTCCTCGCAAATGATGGAGCAGAAATGGTCTTTCAAAGCTTTGGCGTGCCAGGCCCTGCTTGTGTCATTCTCGTGCATGGCTTCTCTGGCTCTTCTGACTACTTTACTCGTTCTTTTGACGAGCTCTCCAAAACACTCTGGGTTGTAGCGCCCGACCTTCGAGGTCATGGACAATCAGCCAAGACCCCCAATGGATACCATGTCGCCAGACTTGCCGCAGATCTGCGCGACCTGATTCTCGAGCTGCGGAAGACTGTCCCAGATTTGCGACCCATGGGCGTCGGCTGCTCAATAGGTGCAGCAGTCCTATGGACCTATGTTGAGCTTTATACAGAGAGCGATTTTGATCGCTTCATCTTGTAAGCTCTTCTACAGCTTGAGTAAACTAACCTTAGCGTGGACCAAGCACCACTGCAGAATTACGCGATCGATGGCTCTTGGCTGCTTGGTAAGACTAGAAAATTGTTGAAAGCAGCTAACTCAAGGGAACTACGGTTGCCACGATGCTGCCTCCCTAGCTTGGAATCAAGCAAACATGATCCTGAACCCTGCCTCTGCCTGGAAGGGTCTCGTTTCTTCTTGCCTGGGTTATCGCTTCGATGCCGATTACGGCCGCCAGATCAACATATCTCGCGATTGTGCTCAGGCGGATTCCCTCTTCTTCACGAGCACCTCGAACTTGTGCGATCCAAGATGGCTTGCCAAGCTCATGGCAGATCACACAGCGTATGACCACCGAGATACAATTCAGCATGGCATCACTAAGCCATGTCTTGTCCTCTATGGGAAACGCAGTGGTTGTTTTCCAGCAGAGGGCATGATTGAGACTGCGCGTTTGCTCAATCAGAAACGTTCTGGCTTGTGTGGTACTCTGCAATTCGAATCGGGTCACTGGCTGGTATGTACTGCTCGCTTTGGGTTTATGCTGATATTAGTTTTACGAAGAAGCAGCCAAGTTCAACGCTATTGTGAGGCAGTTTCCACATCTTTGCCCATCGGCATCAGAAGTGGACAAGGTGAAGCATCTCTATTCAGACATGCATCTCTGAACTTTGTGACTTCCTCCAACTCATGAGGTCATCTACACAATGTTCCTAATCAACGCGGGGTTCTACACATCAACAGCATGTTCAAGGCAAGTAGCACATTTGTACGGCATGGCCGGCGCTTTGCGAGTAATAGCCCAGCACAAGCGCCTTCAGGTGTCTTGATGCCTCTCTTGGCGGTCAATATCGGCCTCACAGGCTATGTTGCTTTCAGCCAATATCAGCTCAGTCAGCAGCAGCAGAAGATTGGTACGCGGCTGTAGCAAAACTACACACGGACGCTAACAACAGTTGCTGATCTCGACTATTTATACGACAGGGTGGACGAATCACTCGGTCGAATTGACCTGCGAAACAACGAAACAACAGGCTATTTTGAGAAGGTAAGCCAAAAGGTGGACGAGATGAATGCGTTAGACAAGAAGTCAAAGAAGTAGCTATACAGATTTCTGTGGCTCCAACGTCCGTTGTACTTGTCTCTTGAGTGTGGATCTAGTCCAGCTGGACCGTGCATCATCGTCACGGTCTTTGCCTGCGAGTTTGCTCGAACGCGCCTGAAGCGCTTCGACTGCCACTTTGTTGGCCGTCGCCTTGAATGTCGGCTGTTTTCCGTCGGCGGCCTCTCTTGACCACTGACTCCCCTGAACGAAAGCGAAGCCTGGAGGCGGCTGGACATCATCGAGATTGTGCGTCGTGAATGCATCTTCGCGCCCTGCATTGCCGATTGTGCTGAATCCAGAGTAGATGACTCGCTTGTCTCCTGGAGCATCGTTCCCTTTGTAGCAATATTCATAAACAACCACCTCGCGCTTCTCTGGCAATCTTTCTGGATCAAGGTACTCGCGCTCCACCTTTTCGGCAATTTGTTCGCGTACCTTCTCGCTTGCAGAGGCAGACATACGCTGAATGTGTTTGAGCAATGGCAAGAAGCGCTTGTGGCCAGAGAGCAGAACGATCCAGCCAGAGAGAAGAGCCAAGAACTTGACTGGCACATACGCAGCCAGGACCAGCGCCGTGAGCATGCCAATGCAACACGCAACGAGAGTAACGCTCGACTTTTTCTCATTTGCAAAGTTGGCATAGTCTGTCAAGACTAGCGCAATCTGGTCATATGCTTGTACATAATCTTCCATGGCGTTTTGAATGTCGCGCATGTTGATGAGGAAGTCGCGGCCTTCTGCCTTTTCTCCAAAGTGCTTTGCATTGCCTGTACTGGTCGCCCAACTGTCCAGGTCTGGCGGCAGTGGGATGTTGGAAGGCGGTGGTGGATGGAGCTGCAGGAAGCTCGGTATGAGTAGTCCAAACACAGCTGCCGCAAAAGGCAAGGCCAGCGCCAGGTATGGCTGCAAGCAGAGCAGGGTCCATATCATGCCATAGGACACTGTTTCTCTTGGCTTTTGCCAGGTATAAATGGCTGCAACGCCGGATTGAAGCTTGAAGAAGACACCAATCCTCGAGGAAAACTGTCGAAAGTTGCGCGTAAGGACAATGAGGTCGAGCGGCGGCGGCTCATCTGAGGATTGCTGTGCGCCTTTGCCCTTGCCCTTGCGCTTATCTGTCTGGTCGGCTGCCGGAACAAGCGAGGAGAGGACAGAGGCAATGACCTGCTCCTGTAGCGACGGCGCATCGACATCCTTTTGCTTGTTCATCGCTGCGCATCCCTGGTTTGTGCTCGGTGCGTGGTTGTCGGCGACGTCACATCTGGTAGGCACCGAGCGGTAGCTGCGACCTGGAACCCATCAGCTTAAAGCTCTCTGAACAAGAAGTCTCCATCAAGGCCTTTCATCTAGAGCTCACTGGACTCTCAGGACATATTATTCTTGCCTAGACAGGGACGCTGCATCAAGAACCTCAATATTGGAAGCTTTCCTACAACCGCTACAACTGCAATTCTGAAGGCGTACACAGCGTCCAGCGTCTTGATACTCAACTGAGGTATGAGAGAACCACTGATTGCTTTGTGTGGGAAGCCGTCCTCTGGCAAATCTACTACGCTCAACTCTTTGACCTCTGAGCCGGTTGCTAAGACTGGAAGCTTCCCGTTCACGACAATAAAACCCAACCACGGTGTAGGATACCTGACGGTATGCTGTGCTTGCTCACGCTACAAAAGACAAAGCGAGTGTATGCCTCTCTATGGTGAATGCAAAGGCGGTCGACGAAAAATACCCGTGCAGCTCTTGGACGTTGCTGGATTGGTCCCTGGTGCCTCTGAAGGTCGAGGACTTGGCAACCAGTTCCTTGATGACCTGCGTGTGGCTGCTTGCTTGGTGCACGTCGTGGACGCATCAGGTACGACGGATGAGCAAGGCAAAGAGTGCCGCGGCTATGATCCCTACCGAGACGTTGCTTGGCTACAAAGCGAGATTGTCCAATGGATCTACAAGAATCTCGAGAAGAAATGGGCTTCCATCATCCGACGACACGTTGCAACGAAGAGTACGCCCATTGACACACTAGCTGCCCAGTTTTCTGGTTATGGTGGCAAGCCTTCTGCGCACCTCGCAAGGGTATTCCAGAAGCTTGGTCACAATGCCGAGGAGGCCAAGATCGAACGTTGGAGTCTTGAGCAGGTGGAACACATGGTGGAATTCTATGTCCAGATACGCTTTCCGACTGTCTTGTCTCTCAACAAGATTGATCATGCAGACTCTGCGGAAAACATTGCCAAGATTGCAAAACACCAGGATCCAGAGTCGATTGTCTTGACATCAGCCGTCGCTGAAAATCTGCTTCGAAAACTGGCAAAGCAACGCTTCATTCGCTATGAGGAAGGAACAGAGTTTGTGGACACCAAGGAGGACTTGGGGCCAGACGAGGCCGATACGCTGCTAGAGATGGATGAACGGACCAAGCAGAGGGTGGAGAATTTACGAGACATGGTGCTCTACCGGTACGGCTCAACGGGAGTCTCAAATATTCTACAAAAGGCCTGTGCAATGCTTGAGCTGACGCCTGTGTACCTCGTCAAGAATGCGCAATTTGGACACAATGACAAGCAGCATGGCATCTTCAGGGATGTGGCGCTAGTGAAGATTGGCACGCGGATAGGCGACATTGCAGCGAACATCTCCAAGGCCGACCTCGTGTATGCCGAGACTGCAGGTGGTGTGCGCGTGGGTGCTGACGATCTGCTACAGCCTGGTGTGAATGACATTTTACTATTCAAATTTGTTTGAGGTCTTGGAGGGCACTCAGCTGGTACTGGATTCTTTCCAAGCAGAGTACCATGCTGCATCGACAAAGACCAGCTGCTAAAGTCCTGGGTGGCATCACATTGGCGGTGCAAGATCTGGAAGGACTAATTGACAACACAGATTTTGCTGAGTCTGTGAAAGCCGAAGCGGCCTTATGTGCGGATGATCTGTCTCTTCAATGCCGAGCCTCAGTCTACATGAAGGACGCCTCTCGGAGATGGGCCTGCTACGGTGCCAGCTGATGACTCGAGTTCATGGCTCAAGTGTCCCAATTTAGCTCCTCCCACGCCGCAAAACTTCCAAAAAAGGGAGACAGCGGCAACAAGCAACAACGAGACCAACACACCAAAAGACACTCGCTTTCCCCCTCCAGTCCCTCGCTTACTCCGCCCAGATGCATTTCAGCATCGCAGTCCTGTCCCTCGCAGCAGCATGCTTTTCCCAGGTGGCCGCACAATCGAGTGTCAGCAAGTCAGAAACCCCTTTGGCTACAAAGCCAGTCTCCACCGCCGCCTCACAGGCCACTACCCCCATCACCATCAAGGGCAACACCTTCATGCGCGGCAATGAGCGCTTCTTCCTTGTTGGTGTTGACTACCAGCCCGTACGGCCCTCAATTGAACAAAGTGCAAAGCTAACCAAAATCAGGGAGGCTCCAGCGACTTGACTGACCCTCTGAGCAACCCTACTATCTGCGCCCGTGACATTGCAGTCATGCAGACGCTTGGTATCAACACTATTCGCATCTACACGGTGGACAACTCTGTCGACCACGACGAGTGTATGAGTCTCCTGAGCAAAGCCGGAATTTACCTCGTGCTTGACATCAACACGCCCCAATCTTCCCTCAACAGGAACGATGCAGCCTCTTCTTACAATCTTGCTTACATGCAGCACTTGTTTGCTACAGTGGATGCATTCAAAAAGTACCCTAATGTTCTCGGCTTTTTCGCAGGCAATGAAGTCATCAATGATGCACCGACCGTGGGCACCGCCCCATGGATCAAAGCCGTCATCCGAGACGTCAAGCAGTACATTGCCGCACAGTCTACCCGTGCCATCCCCGTCGGCTACTCCTCCACTGATGTTCCCGGCTCGCGGTACAAATTTCCTGAATACCTCAAGTATGACCCTTAAATTACAGAATCAACCACGACTAACAACACAGCTGTGGCAACGCCTCTACGCGAGCTGATTTCATTGGCACAAACGTATACAGTTATTGTGGTGACTCTAGCTTCACCCAGTCCGGTTATGACCAGCTCGTCGCAGGATTTAGCGATCTGACCATTCCTCTGTTTATGAGCGAGTTTGGGTGCAATCAATTCGCAGGAGACCAGTCCAAAGGGCGTGCATTTTCAGAGGTGGCCACTATCTACAGCAAGGAGATGACTTCGGTCTTCTCTGGAGGCCTCGTCTATGAATACACGCAAGAGGTCAACAATTATGGATTGGTCACCATCGGCAGCAATGGCCAGGTGAGCGCACTACCAGACTTTTATAACCTGCAGAAGCAGTATGCCGCTCTCAAGCTTGACAAGTCTGCCCCCGGAACCAGCAAGACGACGGCCCCTGCCTGCCCGGGCAACTCGACCGACTTCGAGGGTGTTTGGGCAGAGGATGTTCTTCCCGTCCAACCCGCTGGAGCTGCAGCGTTGATCAAGAACGGAGCTGGTGCACCTCTTGGCAATGGCGGTAGTGGTTCACAGAACGCAGGCTCTGGCTCAGGTTCCGGTTCCGGCAACAGTAACGTTGGCTTGACTTCTTCAACCACTTCTGGCAGTGCACGATCCGCCTCGCCCAGTGCCTCTGCAACGCGAACGTCTGGTGCACAGTCTGTCTTGCCTACTTTGTCTATGGGTATGTTGGCTGCTTGGTCCTTGACACTCTCTGCTGCATTTGGCGCTGCATTGTTCTTTTAAGCTTACGGTCACGCGCATGGTGGACACAGAATGGTGCATCCATAGCAAGTAAGTCTTAGTTTACGTCTAATCGTTCATTCGTTCGTCAGGTGAGCATTTCTATCTGCTAGGTAGTCCACCTGAAGGTACATGGATAAGTAGTCCTGGTAGACTTCGGATTTCCCCTGTGAGACAATAGTTTTTGACGTTTGCAAGCACTCAAGATGAAGCTGACACTGCCTGGCAGAGTACGTAAGAGCATCTGCATGGCTGAGGCTGTCGCCGAGTGATTAGCAGACTAGTCTAACTCTGATGCAGACCTCTGGCCAGATGACTGCATCATGCTCGCTGGCCAGTCCGAACGGATATCAGGCACGTCTTGGGCAAAGCTACAAAAAGCCAAAGCAACAAGATGGCCTGAGGATGCTTTCCATAAAACAAGCGGTAGATAAGATTGAATGCTATGCAGTAGACTAAGCCAATGAAGCCTTGATTTCGGCGATACGCTTCTGGTTCTTCTCCTTGCGTTCGGCGTTTGTGAGCCTCTTTGACTTGTATTGGGAGGATGCCTTTGTGTACTCCTCCTTTGTCTTCTTCTCCGTGAGCTTGGGTGATGGGTCAGCACGAATGGCTGCGTGCGCACTCGCGTAAATGTCTTCGAGCGCATCCGACTCAATGCCAGCGGCAATCAAGCCAGCGAATTGCTGCTGGTAACGCTCCTCGTCATCGTCCAAAAGCATGTCCTGGTACTCTGCGACGTGTCCACCAAAGATGTAGCGACGGAGGGTCTCAGCGTCGAGCTCCTCACCCTCAATGTCCCATCCAGGGAATCGGTTGGGTGAGTGTGGGATGTAGAGACCGCCGTCAGAGGCACCCTTGAGGGCACCAAAGATGCGGCAACCGGTGGTGGTGCGCTGGAGACCGACATCCAAGACGACCTTGAAGGGACGTGGTCCGTCCTCAACGGCTTCGGTCATGGTGAGCTCTCCATCTGCCTCTTCGACACCCTTGTAGGTTTCATCGAGGCCGAGCTTCTTGAGTGCACGCCTGGCAACCAAGAGACCCGTCGCATAAGCTGCGGACCAGTTGGTGAGGCCGTGCTTGATGCCGTATCGTGGGAGTTCGTGTGCATAGGCGGCAGTGAGGACGACATCGCCTTCGATCTTTGAGTAGATGATCTGGCAGATGATGTCCTTGTTGGTGAAGCGGACGACGAGTCTGTACTTTGGTGCTGCGTACTTGTTCTTTGCCTGGGTGATGAGACGCTTGCGTGCGTAGTAGTCTGTCTTTCCCTCGCGTCTGCGCCTGTACTTGGTCTGGAAGCGGGAGAAGTACGCCCTGTTCTTGACGAGCTTGGTGAAAGGCATCTTGGTTGTCTGTAGGCTGTAGACTTGACTCTGGTGAGTTTCTTGGTGAGTATCTGCCGTGTCCTGTGTTGAGTCTTGTTCTTGTTGGTTGTTGAGTGACTGCGGAATTATTCGACGACGACTATAGGCAGACTTGTATTTAGTACTGAGTAGTTAGTATAGTAGTCTAGTAGAGTATAGAGATGGAACAGCTCATGGCCACAAGCTCAGGCAGGTACAAGGCCATCAAGCTCATCCAGTACACAACAAAGGCCTTCCTCCTCCAGCGCCCGAACCTCACACAGCACCAGCTCCATCAGCTCGCGTCCCTCGTCGGCGCATGCTCCCTCCAACGCCGCCTGCTCCAGCTCGGCAATGCTTATAAACCCATCAAGCAGCTCTTCCTTCGTCTCCCAAGAGGCAAGCTCAATCTCCATGAACTGCTAGAAACAATCGCTGCTCTGTGTGAAGACGCGAGCGAGGACGCCTTCACCCTGGCACAGCTCGGCTGGCTCCCCGCCCACTTCAAGAGCTTCGCCGTCATCTCCGACCGCGCATGGCTCGCATCCGTCACTGTAAGCATCTCCGCCGCTCAGACTTCAAACCTGACCGCATAGCTCGACCTCCATCTCTGGATCCGTGAAAAAGTAACCATCATGCGGCAACGCAGGCTCAATACCTTGCTTCATGAAAAGTACGCCAAAACAACAGAGCGAGAGCTCGTTCGCCACGAATACTGGCACGACCTCGATGGTATCCGGCTTGCTTGTGATTTCGGACAAGCCTGGTGCGATGTCTTTGATGTTGCCTTGTTCAAGGGCTTCGACACCTACTGCGGCCTGATATCCAGCATTCTCGGCCTCTACCGCTTCGTTGCAAAGACTTGAAAAGAGTGTTTCACTCAGTATTAAGTGCTTCACGCAACGCAGCATTCTCAACCTGCAACCGCTCAATCAACACATCCGCATCGGCACCCGTCTGCGCCTCATACGCTTGTCGCACAAGCCCCTGGATACGCTGCACTTCCTGCTGTAGTTGTGCATATTGCTGCTGCGCACCGCGTGTCCGTTCGCGCTCCGCATCAAGTTCTTCCTGATGCCGCCGTTTGAGATGCACCACAGAAAGGGTCAGGTCGTGCTCGTGTACGCGAATCTTGTCCATGGCCGTGGATAGACCCAATTCGTACTCTGCTAGTAGGAAAGACATATCTTCTGTATCTTGCTTGAGCTTGCGATTCTCCTCAATGAGCTGCTCGTGTTGCTGCATCAGCGTGTCGGTCATGCGACTTTGTGTTCTCTCATGCCCTGGTTGCTGCGCATGCCCATTGACACCTGCATTGCCCTTCGTTGCATATTCTGGCAAGTCATCTTCATCTCCATCGCCTTCAGGAAGCTAAAATCACAGTCAGCTACGTTGTATCATGCAAGAAGCTCACTGACCTGCAGGTACTGTGCTTGTCGCCTCAAATGCTCCGTCTCGAGCTGATTCTCCTTGAGTTGCGCAGAGAGTTCTTGGACAAGTCGCCAGATGCGCTGTAGCTCACTATTCGCTGTACTCGAGGCGACCATGCCTCTAGGCACACACTCAGAGCGAGTCCTCAAGCTTGTAGCCAGTCGTGTCGCGGGTCTGTGTCGCGTCGCAGGTGGGAAATAGAACAGTCACATCGCCCTCTACCAACACATACAAAGGACAGCAGAGGATGAACTGGACAGGCGGGAAGCGCATCAGCAGGATGAAAGGCGGTCAGCACGAACAGCAGATGCAGCGGGAACACTTTGCAAAGCGCAATACAGCGGGTCCTGTGCCTGAAGAGATCATCACCTACAGCGTATGCACGTCAAGGGAAACAGACACTCACGAAGCTGCTGCGAGGGTGGAAGCAGACGCAGAGCGCATGGATGAAGACTGCACGAGCATGCCCATCGGTCGCGCAGCAGTAGCCGCAGCATCAGCAGCAGCAGCAAGCTGTAAAGGACAACGCATCGACAGGCACTTCCTGGAGAGCAGCGAGTGGACACTGGGACTGGACGAGGACTTCCTGCCGCCATTACAGCTGGACAAGTATCAGCCAGCAGAGACACTGCTAGACCGACATCCGGCAGCTGCAGCAAAGCAAGTCGACGAAATGGAGACGTGTGGGAGTACAGACATCGCAGACCATGCAGACGTGGGAGAAGCAGTGCAGGACGAGACACAGAGTGTCCGCTCAATACAGGACAACGCCTCTTGCAGCTCGCATCTCGAGAGCATCGACCGTTTCTTCCATCCAGCTACTCAGACAGTCTTGCAGCCAAGCAAACGCACTCGAGAATCGTCAGAAGAGCTGGTCGAGGATCCATTCAATCTTGCACATCTCATTAGCAGGAAACGTCCAAGGCAGACTGGGAATTGGCAAGGTCAATTCAGCAGTCTTCAGTCGAATCACCACAGCATGGACATTTAGACTCTAAGCAATACACGCCAAGATGCATAGAATGAGTGTAGACAGAGTTGACTAGTCCTTCTTGTTGCTGACGAGCTTGGTACCGGGCACGAGGAGCGGATTGAAGAGCTGGTTGCCCTCTGCGTAGCCTTGTCCCATACCGAAACCGATGCCCGTAAAGACTGGCCACATACGCCCTGCAATTAGCTCCTGGTAGACTTCATCGGGCCCATCATACGTCTAAAGAGAATCACAGAAGCGACCACGCCAACTCCGAAACCCAGACCGGTTTTGACGATGCCATTTGAAAGAGCAAGATCCCACTAGCCATTAGTTTTGCTGATTGACTCGCTGATGTACCTTGTCGTTGAGGATTGCTTCGCTAGGTCGCTTGGCCTTGGTCTCTGATGACATGCTTGCGTGAGGAGTGCGTCGCCTTGATGGATGTTCTTGGATTTTGAGTCTCTGGCAACTTCTCGGCCTAAACACCGTGACACCAAATCCAAGTGTACAACCAAAGCTCAGCAAGATGCAGCCTTGACCATCGATGCATGGCGCCTTGTCCATCTACGTCCACTACCCATACTGCTCTCGCATCTGCTCCTTCTGCAACTTCAACAAGTATCTGCTCCCAAGCAGTACCAGCCAAGATGCGCTCTTTGGCCACTACCAAAAAGAGCTCAAATACGGCTTGAATCGCTATGCTGCTTCGAATAGCTCGCGGAAAATACGCTCAGTCTACTTTGGTGGAGGCACACCATCTCTTGCTCCTGGAATTGTTCCTGCTGTGCTTCAAACCATTCTTGAGTGTGGTTATTCCCTCGATGCAGACTGCGAAGTCACGCTGGAAGCCAATCCATCCTCCTTGCCTAACTTACAACGGCTCTCTGATGATGGTGTCACTCGTATGAGTCTCGGCGTTCAGTCCTTGTCGAGCTCAAAACACCTCGCCTTCTTCAGGCGAGAGCATACCGTCAGTCAAGCCATCTCGGCATTAGAGCGTCTGGCTAAAGCTCGAAGCCTTTTCAAACACGGCTTCACCTTTGACCTTCTATTTGGCAACCCAATCCTGCCAGGTGGGGTACAGACATCGCTACAGGATGACTTGGCCCTCGCTATACCCTTTGCCAAGATTGGCGGCCATTTGTCATTGTACGAGTTGATTGTTGAAGGAGGCACACCACTCGCACGTCAGATTCAAAAGGATCCATCCAATTGCATCATGCCCGATCAAGATTTGCGTGCAGAGGAATATGAACAAGCAGCTAAGGTCTTTCGACAGCATGACTGGCTCCACTATGAGGTCTCTTCGTTTGCAGCGTCAAAACAACATATTGGCCGTCATAATTTTGCCTTTTGGATGGGTGCGCCTCTCCTTGGCATCGGTCCTGGTGCACATGGCCGACTTCCTCTTAAGCGAGACGATGAGCTGGTGCAAGTACGCACGCGTAATGTTCCAGATCCAAAACGATGGGCGGAGCAAATCAATACACTGCAACATGGTTGCGCAAAAGAAGATACACTGACGTCTGGTGAATTTGCCGAAGAGCTGATTGTGCTTGGCTTGCGCACATCCGCCGGCGTCTCTGCATCACGTTTCAAAGCGCTGCTTGCCGAGGGAGGTCAGATCACCAACTTGTCGGAGCATCTCGATGTTGACGAGGTTTCGCAATTGGTTGAGCATGGATTGCTTGTGTACAACGAGACCTCTGCTATTCTCGCCGATACGCCAGATGAGTGGCAATCCGCCTATGATCATGGATCATTGAGGACAACTCATCGTGGCCGGTTTGTGCTTGACACAATGTTGCCACGTCTGTTGAAGTCCTGAGAGCCCACCCTATCCAGTCAGTTTCATACTTATACTCAAAGTCAACTGCGCTTGCTATCAACATATTTCCATCTAATCTAAATCACGCAGTTGTTCGCGCCCTCGGTGGCAATGTATACTTGGCGAAAGACTTGGCCAGAGACTTTTTCACCGATAGCTTGTTGGCATTGACAAATGAATCAATCGTCACTCGAATAGCCTCGTCAATATGGCGTTGCCTCACAAATTCCGACAACTGCATCTTGGCAAGCGACTCTGAAATACGAATGATGGATTCCAGGTGCCGCACTGTGATGGGGAATGAACCAGTCTTGAGGGACTCGCGGCGCATGTCGCTATAGAGTTTCGAGACTTTGTCTGTATCCATCTGATGCAGTTTCGGCTGCATGTGCTCGCGTGCATAGACAATGTACTTTTTGAGCAAATCTTGAGGAATGGGTTCGGCAATGGCATCTTCGGCGTCGGCATTGCTCGAGGCAATGATGATGTCTTGTGCACTGTCAAACTTGGGGTGTGAGCGTAAATGAGAGCCAACCACAAAACGCGCGAGTCGTTCGTCAATGGCAGGGTCGACTGTATCGCGAACAACACACAGGATGTCGAAACGCGATAGAATGGGCTCTGTCAGCTCGACATTTTGTGAGAAGGGGATAGTGGCGTTATAGCGACCGCCGATTGGATTGGCAGCAGCCATGATGGCGCAGCGTGCTTGCAAGGTGGTCACAATACCTGCCTTTGACACAGAGATAGATTGCTGCTCCATGGCTTCGTGGATCGATGTCCGGTCTTGATCATTCATCTTGTCAAACTCGTCAATCAAGCAGGTTCCCTTGTCAGCAAGCACAAGGGCTCCTCCTTCAAGAGTCCATTCGCTGGTGATTGGATCTTTGCGAACACTTGCCGTGAGACCAACGGCACTGGCACCCTGTCCGGTGGTGAAGACAGCGCGGTGTGCAGTCTTTTCGACGTACTTGAGGAATTGTGATTTGGCTGTTCCTGGATCTCCGAGCAACAACAAGTTGATGTCGCCACGAATCCTGTGCTTGCCGTTAATGTCCTTTGGCACGCCACCAAATAGAGACAGCGCAATAGCCGTCTTGATGTCTCGGTGACCATAGATGGATGGCGCAATGGAAGAAATGATGCGCTGGATAATCTGAGGGTCCTTTGATAATGCCCGGATGCCCTTTTCGTCTTGCTCTGACAACCTGAATGCAGCAAACTGATCGTGTGCCTTGTTGACGTGGTTCGCCTCAATGATGGTGCTAAATACTGGGAAGCCATTTTTGCTGTTGAGAGATGCATCGAATTGGTTGCGGTAGATGCCAGTGATTTCAATCTCCTCGCCAGGCTTAGCCGCATCGACTAGATCCCATAGCAAAATAACTTTACGGTTTCGTGGCAGTCGACCAGCTGGCACGGTTCCAGGAGCTTCCTGCAGGATGAGGTTTTGATAGTTGCGATACACAGTCTTTTCGGAATTGACGGAGAAGGGGCCACGAGATTGGCAATTCTCGCAGTAGGTGATGCGTGTTTCTGAGACGGCATCTTGGTAGAAGGGTCCAAGAATCTGGCCACACTTGAGACAGTCAAATTTGACATACTTGAGCTGTGGGTTGACGCCTGAACGACGCGTCACGACACCAGAGACCTTGACGAGACCGTTTAGGTGAACTTGTCTCAACTCTCGCAGCGTATAAGTCTTTGGCAATTCTGTGATGCGGACGTGAATCTCGGCGTGGATGCGTTCGTAATCTGGGTAAAAGAGCAAGGTTGCCTCCATTGCAACGAGATCGAAAATCTTGAGCATATCTTCTGGTGCTGTTGCGAGAAAGAAGGCGAGAGTTCCCTTGGATTCTGCCAAATGCGCATACGACACCTCGAGACTTTCAGAGTTGACCTCTCCGAGGGTGCGAATGCGCTGACCATAGACTGAGGTGCCATGTTCGTCTGTGTACTCGAGCAGGAACTTTTTGAATTCTCTTGCAATAGCGCGTCTGACTTGCTCGACGGCAATCCATTCAGACATGGTGTCTGCCTTGACATCCGCCAGGGCTTCAGGGGACATTTCTTCATCGAGCATATCGCCATCATCGTCTGGGTCTTCATCATACTGATGCCTGCGACGACGTGTTGTAGTCAGATCCATTTCTTCATCATCACTACCATCCAAAAAGGCAGCAGGTCGGCGTCCAGCCTCACGCGCCAATTCTCGATCACGACGCGCAAGTCTTGCATCGACTGCACGACGTTCAGCTGCACTCAAGTCGCCATAGTCACCGGCATCATCGATATCATCTGGATCATAGGCATCTTGCTCATCATTGCCACCGTAGTCGCGTTCCATATTGGGTCCAAATAGATCTAGCGTGTTAATTTGCAAGACTCGCTGTATTTGGAGAATGTACCTTCGCCTTCCTCATCTTCCTGTAGGTCAGGCACTTCATCTTGTCGCCAGGGCTCTTCCTCCTCGTCTCCAAAATCGCTAAAGGGCATAGGTGGACTGCTCTTGGCTTGTTAGCTTATTGTCTGACATGGGCCAATGGTGCATACGGGTGGCAGGGAGGAGCCTGCTTGTGAGCTCATCTCTGGAGCCGGTCCATCTGCCTGGTCTACATCGCGTGTCCGCTTGATTGGACGCGACATGCTTCGTTTGTGGGTGTTGTAGAAGTCGCGAGTGTGCAGCTGCTTGAATTTGAATTTCGCTGGAGAACGCGAAACGCGAATTTACCTGCATCCAGCGAGTCAACTTGTCAAGTATCCTGGCTAGAGTATGGAAGCAGCAGAGAGCCTGCATGAGTATCTGAAGCAGCAGGATGCGCTTGATAAAGAAGCGCGAGCCCTGTTTCCCTATGATTTTTCAGCTTGTTCCTTTGATGAAGGCTACGTGAAGCAGCAAGTCTTTGCGTGCTTGACGTGCACACCCGCTGTAGCTACAGCAATAAAGGGAGAGGCAGAGACGACTGCTACAGCTATACAACGAGGGGGCGTATGCTATGCGTGCTCTATTGCTTGTCACGGCGATCACGAACTAGTAGAACTCTTCAATAAACGCCATTTCCGATGCGACTGTGGCAGTGATCGTATCAGCGCTGAAGCAGCCTGCACGTTGCTCAAGGCACGCAGACCCATCAATACGGAGAATCGGTATAATCAAAACTATGATGGCTTGTTTTGCTGGTGTCGCGTCCCGTATGATCCGGAAAAGGAAGCGCGCACGATGTTTCAGTGCTTGCAATGCGAAGATTGGTATCATGATGATTGTATACAACAGGGAGAAACGTTGCCGAATGAGGATTACTTTGACCAGTTCACTTGTCGGACGTGCATGGCGGATATGAGGTGGTTGAAGCGGTATGCCGGTCAGGATGGATTCGATGCGCGTGCAGCAGCTGCTCAACAGGTTGTGGATGAGCAGGCAAAGACAAAGACTGAGGACACGCACGAGCCAAGAGAGGATGAACGGCCTGCTAAACGCGTCAAGGTGGACACCGAGACGGTTGAGCCAGCGAATGAAGCAACAGAGGCACAGCCTGCTGAAACATCTGACACTGTCTGCAAGTGGAGCAGCCTTCCCGAGCAAGAAGTGCACTCACTCTTTTTGCAAGAGGACTTTCGCTCTGCATTGTGCCTCTGCGAGGCGTGTGCTGAGCGTATGGCACCCTACCCATTCCTACAAGGAGAGGAGGAAGTGTATGATCCGCCGGAAGATGAGGATGACGGCGGGGAGAGTGTTTATGAGGCCGGTACGCGAGCTATGGCGGAGACACTCGACCGGCTACCGCGAGCACAGGCGATTGAAGGTGTGCTGCAGTATAGGAAGTTGAAGGAGCACTTGACACGGTGCCTGCGTCCGCTGGCTGAGCAGGGTGAGGTTGTGACTGCTGAGCATGTGCGGGAGTTTTTTGAGCGGAAGCAGTAGTAGTAATGATATGAGTATAGTAGTGCAGTAGTAGTATGAGTATAGTCTGATCGTGTAAGTAGTAGCCATCTGAGCTTCTCAATGAGGAAATCCGCCATCTCGCGTGGTGGTCGGAGCACGTGTCTGCGTATTTCTGATTCCTGAGCGAGAAGCAGCAGCAGCAGTAACAAGTGAGTGAGAGTGAGTGAGTTGCAGGCTGGTTGTCTACCCAAGCACAAACCCCCGACATCTCCATCCCCAATCTCGCCCTCCCTCCCTCTACGCGCCCATCAGTGCCATCACAGCCCAAGCAAGTCCTCTACAAGACATCCAAGCAAGGGCCCGTGCTACAGAAACAAACACCATCCTCCCATCCTCCCTTCCGCCAACAAACAAACGCAGCTCGTGGCAATACAGCCGGCAATAAACCAACAGCCCATCCATCCTCTGCCCGAACCTTCTCTTGCGTTTTATCCGCAGCGAAAGGCCACTCAGCGCACCTCCCCTCTTCTCGCACTAGCAAAGACTTGCAAAGTCAGACATCTGCGACAACCGACCTCCTCCCTACAGATCCAACACAGAGACCTTTCGCCTTCCTCTGCGCAAAGCATCCAAACACCGATCAAACAGGCAGTCCCAGCCTAAACCACCCGTCAAACCAAACGAACCCTACGCAGGCCCTGTTTACATAAATTAAATTCAAGATGGGTTGCGGCATGTCTTCAGAAGCGCCCAACCAGGACAAGCAGAGGAACGATGAGATAGATACACAGCTAAAGAAGGACCGTATGCTCATGCGGAACGAAATCAAGATGCTTCTACTTGGTATGCAAAGCTATTTTTCCATTCAGTCATCTAACAAACCAGGCGCCGGAGAGTCTGGAAAATCAACCATTCTCAAGCAGATGAAGCTCATCAACGAAGGCGGCTACAGCGCCGACGAGCGCGAGTCCTTCAAGGAAATCATCTTCTCCAATACCGTGCAATCAATGCGCGTCATCCTCGAAGCCATGGAGAGTATGGAGTTGGCCCTCGCTGACCCGCGGAATGAGTACCACGTCCAAACAGTCTTCATGCAACCCAACCAGATTGAAGGCGATCATCTCGCACCCGAAGTTGGCACCGCCGTCAAATCACTCTGGCTCGATGCCGGCATCCAAATGTGTTTCCAGCGATCGCGCGAGTTCCAACTCAATGATTCGGCACAATAGTATGTCATCTCCCTGACCCTTCCCAGGTATGTGTTGTGCTAATCTCTAGTTACTTCAACTCAATTGATCGGATTGCGGCTGCCGACTACCTGCCCACCGACCAGGATGTCCTCCGGTCCCGTGTCAAGACAACCGGTATCACAGAGACCACCTTCATCATTGGCGAGTTGACGTACCGTATGTTTGACGTGGGCGGCCAGCGATCAGAGCGTAAGAAGTGGATCCACTGCTTTGAGAATGTCACCACCATCTTGTTCCTAGTGGCCATTTCAGAGTACGACCAGCTGCTTATGGAAGATGAAACAGTCAACCGTATGCAGGAAGCGCTCACCTTGTTTGACTCCATCTGCAATTCCCGGTGGTTCGTCAAGACCAGCATCATTCTCTTCCTCAATAAGATTGATCGCTTCAAGGAAAAGTTGCTCATATCGCCAATGAAGAACTACTTCCCAGACTACGATGGTGGCGAAGACTACAACTCCGCATGCGATTACATCCTCAACCGATTCGTCTCACTCAACCAAAGCGACGTCAAGCAAGTCTATACCCACTTCACCTGTGCTACAGATACACAGCAAATCAAGTTCGTCATGGCGGCCGTCAACGACATCATCGTGCAAACCAACTTGCGCGAAGTTGGTCTGCTTTAAGGAAGTGGTGATTTGGTTGTCTCTTGTTTTTTGTGTCCTTTTTTGGGGAGGGTCTTCTCGAGGTGATGCAGGATCTTGGGGAGCTTTCAAGTGGGATTCGAGGGTGCAATCCTGGGCTGGGTTTGTATGGATGAGAAGCACGCCTCGGGCGACTGAATCTACAAAAGGGTCCCTCCATCAAAAACCCCTCTAATCTTGTGCGCACCTCGACCACCTCACAAAATACACTGCGCCTACTTTATTCTTCCTCAACGCTGCGGGTCTGTTCTCTTCTCTTCTTCTTTTCGTATTTCTCATAGTAGTAAAGGTTACTTCAATTGTTGGATTGCTTGGCGCGTGCGAGAAAGCTTCTTGACCGCATCACACCCTACGTACACCACATCAGGACTTGCAGGCCAATGTACACAACTAGTTCAAGGCAAATCAGCTCATCTAAGCCTATCGAATGCTACTATCAAGATCTATCATCCCTCGGTCATGACATCAGCACAGCTTGCATTGCATTGCTGAAATCGCAAAGGCTAGTCGTCTGCGTAATGACACATGACTCTCTGGTCTGCTCCTAGTCTCTCAAACGGCGCATTGTCATGCGATACCACGTTGCGTATCGGTTCGTCAGTCTTGGTCAAGGAATACTGTGCAGCTGCATGTGCATGCCGTCGGGAATTTGACGGCAATGTGTCGCATCAACCTGTGCATGCGATATCGCACTTTGCAAGTTTGCGAGCTCAACAGCCAACCTGTTTTGCAACACTCCCTGTGAGGCTGTGCTTTCAAGAGAAGGGCTTGATGAAGCGTGCTTCACTCTGACATCTAAGCCTACTGCAGCTACTGACGCTTTCCACCGCAGACTCGCCTGGTCTTCCTCTTGTTGCCCTGGTCGACTGCTACTGAGCTGCTAACGTGTCGGTCGTCTTCGGAAAAGACCATTTCATCACGTGAAGGAGGTATGAGCAGAGATGCCAACACAGCTGCTCGCGTGCTTTGAAATATGCCGACCCCTGAATCTGCTCTGATGTGCGGAATGGGAGGAATCCGCACCACTTGCATCTATAAGAAGCCTTGCCCGCACCGTACATCCAAGCATTGAGCAGCATACCAGCGCCTGGCAGACCTCAGAAACCACCTCCTTCCAAATCTCGTCAGCCAAGTACGCAATCAACGACTGCCAGCAGTGTCATCCATCCTGGTCATCAACGCACTGTCCACCTGGACCCTACATGTCTCCCTCCTCTCCACCAACCATCTTGCAGTGAGTGCCGACTAACATGCTTTTTTGGCTGGAGCGGGCATCACGTCACCCGGATTTTCCGCAATGGGAGCCCGGAGGATGACCCTTCGTCTTCAAGCAAGGACCAGGCTATGATAAGCATCATGGTGGAAAGGTCTTCCAATCCCGACACCTGCACCAGCAGAAGGGTTTAATCCCAACAAACCCGAGAAAGGCACAGGGTAGATGGCATGCTATTACGTTGCCGAGGACACGGCCTGCAGTACTAAACCCGATGATTTCTTCACTGCAAAAGATTCAAATCGTCATGGCAAGGGAGATCGGCTTGGTATCTACTGTGGGTATGCATCGGATCTCAACACAGATCATTGGGTCCCCAAGAATGCCAAACCCGGATATCCTCCCACTTGGGGTACCCGGGGCAAGCACTGCGATGTGATCTTTACTTATCGAGCGCCCGTCAACGCTGCCTGGCTCGTTCTCAAGCCAGGGATTCAGTCCGAGAAGGACCTGCAGACCGCTAGCGACTGTCCTTACCAGCTGAAATATCAGGTTGGCCCGTATCTTGAGAGCAAGCAGTTTCCCATGGACACTAAAACGGGTTGTTACCACATCAACAAAGATGATCGATGTGGGGCTGACTGGTTCACAGTCACGGCGAACAATGTTGATCATCTCGGTGTTTACTGTGCTGCAAAGCCTGAAGACTTTATCCCGAAGGCCGCATTTGCAATAATGTTTGGCTGGCAAAAGACCTCGTTGGTACTTCGACGAGAGTCTTTACTCATGGATTCTTTATTCAGGGTGGTAAGCCTCCTCATGCCCGCGAGCAACATGATTCTTGCCGCTTCGGTAAAGCTTGGAGTAGCCTGCACACCACAACATATCAGAGGGGCGTCCCTTCCTATAGTTCTACTTTAGAAGAGCACTAAGCACCTTCAGCTGCACTTTGGTCGTTATGACAGTGGAACCATAGACAGTGCTTCAGCGTCATCTTGAACACTGATCCAGTATCATTGATGAATTACACAGTGACTAGTGCTGGAGAGCTTGCTCAGGAAAACAACAGCTGCAACGCGACATAGTTGCGTTCGTTCGAACTTGGGTCACGGATTTCTCGAATGACGACCTTCGAGACTCGAGAGGCCTGCGATGTCACTCCGTCACGGCCTGAACAAGCACAGCACCGACCACCCATCTGGCGACACACCACAAAGCTCTCATACAAGCCTCGTCGCTGACGCATGTGTCCAGACTGCTTTAAGCTCTTGCTCCTTTGTTCGCTTGTTGAAAAAGGCGAGCCTTCTGCTGTCGTTCATCGGCAATCACCAAATCCGTACACAGGTGTCACTACTTACCAGTCTTGTTTCAGTGACTCCGAAGTAGACAGACCAGTTCTGCCTCATGCCTTGTGCTGCCGGTGCAGCTTTCAGACTGTCCCCTACAGGTCCTCCTCGAGTCTAATCGTTACATGCGAATCCAGAGGGAAATTCGCTGGTCGAACGCGGAGCCAGACTCTGTACTGATGCCGAGGCTGCTAGATGTTGTCGTCCACAAAGATGCGACGCGAAGCCTAGCGAATGCCAAAGCAATTGAGCGTAGCTTAGCGACTTAGCTATACGAGCCCACTGCGAGTCTGCGAGTGCCGAGTGGGTCTGCAAGAGAGCAACGGCCTTCAACGAGGCAAGTAACATGAACGAGCCTTAGTTGCTCGCAAGTTCGCCACCATCGAATGAGATCAGCTATTCAGCCAACGATCAGCCTAGAACGATGCGATGAGGAATGCACATACATGTGTGGCACGTGCGTAGAGATGGGGTCGAGGGTAGGCTGGATCGTATGCAGTCAAGCTCACGGCGACCTTTCCATGGGAAATGCCAGCCAACAAGGGAGATTCAGTTTGAGTGAGACAAGACTAGCATCCATGTGCACGACCCGGAAGCTGTGCTACTGTATGAAGGCCCGTTTCGCTTGATCGATAGCGTAGACGCTAGAGGCTCAAAAGAGGGGGATCATTGCAGACTTTACGAGCGTCTTCTCAAGGCTGCCAGACTCGAAGTTCTTTGAGATGCACAGCACACATACTGATGAAGCTCAGCTGCTATAGCTACAGCAGAGGTACAGTAGCATTAGTAGCAGCAGTAGTCAGCGGTGTCGCAAACTCGAGCTTCGTCTCCTCCAGATGGCATTCGCGCTAAAAACGCTGCCTCGTGCGCGTCGGGCATTTGCGGGACTATGGCCATGCGCTCGAGTACAACCTGGGGAAGCGGACCCGAGGAGCTGCCACGGCCGGCCTATAGGCGATATTGATCACATGCTTGGCTCTCATCTACATATGGTAGACGGATGGCTATGCGCATGCAATAGGTCGCATACTAGCATTGCTCAGAAGAGCCGGCACTGGTCTACTCGGACGCGGCACATCGCTCTATGCCGTAGAACGATACAGACAGGACTAAATCACGGATTTTCAGCCCGGGATTTTCTACCAGCCGTACTAAATCAGCCTGAGGCAGCTCGGAGAAGGCCCGATCACAAGCTTCACTGTCCATCCCGCACGACAAATTTTCGGGCGGCGGAAGAACTGCAGATGAGCCCCCGCATAAACACAGAGAACACACAGCATACATTATATATACCGGCTCAGCTGCACCAGGAGGCCCTTGCTTAGAACCATCTATATACTCAGGGCCCTTCCCTTCTTCATCCCATCACTTTCACCATGGACTTCAGTCGCTCACCGCCAAAGGACATTCCTGCCTCTGCGCATCAAACATACAACACACCCGTCTGCTCATATCAAGACCAGACCAGCTTCCCTTTCCATGCTAGCAACAGCAGCAGTGCAGTCAACAGCAGCCGGAGTTCCAGCACGGATCTGCAGCAACTCGGCTTCCAACCACAGCTTGATCTGAGTATGCTCTCTAGTCATCTACAGAACATTGAGGTGGCGCGCTTGAGCGATGAGCTCGCAGGACTCTGCAACTAAGGCACGATGATAGAGGCGGTGTCCACTTGGCGTTAATAGCTGCTGGACTGTGCTTGTGGGTCTCTTCCACATGAATCCATGTCTCTCGCCGCCTTACCTCAACCCTCCCTTCAATGATGACGACACCCAGCCATGGCATTTGTTCTTTTCGCGCAAGGATGCACACTGTAGAGATGCCCTTGACGCTGTATACTAGTCTACTGCACGCTACGTATTGTAATCCACTCCCTTCTCAGAATGTCCAGTGTATGGCATGACATGACGTAGTGCCGTGTCCCCTCGATGGGCGACGACGACCACATGAAGAGGATGAAGAGCACAGCTACGACGGGCAGAGACGGCCCTGCACTTGACCACATAAAGGCCTTCCTATCTTGGTAGTGCTTGCTTCCTGCTGCCGGGGTGACTGATGGCTGCCTCAGATCTTGCTGCCAGATCCAGCTCGAGATCCAGACAAGACATCGCTAGCAAAGCCCATGTCGGCCTGCAACCTCAGCAATGAGCAAGATGGCGCAAACTCGACTCAGCTGTTTCGTCGAGGCCATGTAACAAAGCCCAGCGTGATCCTGCTCCCTCCAATTCAGCCTATGTCTCTCGAGGATGACTGGGCCGGTCTTCTCCACCCGACTTGTGCTGCTTCTTCTATAGACGCAGCTGCCTTTGATCGGTCATGGACGTCAGCTACGAAAAGAGCACTCTGGATCTCGGCGCCTTCATCGCCTGAACAACGCGCCATTGCGCTCAACTCATCAGACAAGGCACAATCAAGCAGCCCCACCAAACCCTCTCCTCTCCTCCCACCACTCCTACAGTATCATGAGTCGACCAGTACTAGCATACATACAGCGCAAGCAGACTCGTCCGACACATCTCCTTTCAAGCTGGACTTGAGCGCTTCCTCATCAAGCAAAGGCCTCTTGCGCAGTTCGACTCCCGATGTGGTGCGCTCACCGAGGCCCAAGAATCCGAGGCAGCTCATGCTCAGTCCAAGCAGGCCTATCTGTCGCTCTTACTCCTTCAGCAGCCCACTATCTAGCTGCAAACCAGGCAGCGATTCAAGTAAATCCGAAGATCCATTCGCCCTTGAAGTACAAGTCGCCTTGATGGCCGTTTCTTCACGTCCACTACTTTCAAGTCGACGTCAAACTTTTGCAGACTCCTACAAACGTATGTCGTCCTTTTACTCGCTCGCACGGCTACTGATGCACCACGCACAGCTGTGAGCCCCTCGCCAGGCCTCCATCGCTATCAAGGCCAAGATGCACTACCACCCTCTATGGCCCGCTCAAGCCCATCATGCTCTCGGCGACCGTCCATGAGTAGGCTCTGCATCTCGCCTCTTGCAAGTAGACGCCCATCCATGCAAGCTGAACGGCCTCCACTCACACGCTCGACGCCTTCTGAAGTCAGCGTCTTTGACAGCGACACGGACTCTGGCGATGATCGTGCCAGTCGCAAACATCGCGGAAGTGATAGTACCACCACTTCTGCCAAGTTTCGCAAGTTGTTTGGAAGGAAGCGACAGGTGCGGCCATCGATTGAGCGTGGCTTGAGTGCATTGTCGGTAGTCGGAATGCTTTCGACTGATATGACAACAGAAGAGGCAGCTGTGAGGCTCATGTTAGCAGCTCCATTGACTGTTGGTACGCTGGAGCAGTTACTGGACAGCTGGTTATCGAGCCCCAATTCAACGATAGGTACGATTGAGTGGTGAACATGAGCGCAACTAATACACAGACGACAATCTTATCCAGCTGCTCATCTACTACCATGCACTGACGCAAACTGACATTGAATTCTTCCGCAGCCTGACACACTACTTTTGGCAACAGCAAGAAGGCGATTATGTAACACGAGCTGAGAAAGTCCTTGAAGTGCTACTCAGATGGGTCGTCCTTCAACCTCGCGATTTCTGCGATACGGAAACGTTGGCTGATGTGTGCCTGCTCTTTTGTGGGGAGGTGAGGCAGACATCCTTTCATGTTGCTGCATTCGAGATTGAGCGTGCTTTGACGTCGCAACTGCAGCATCATCGCACAACCACACAAGTCGTGAGCAGAAAGCGCAACATCTCGCTAGATTCAGAGTCTGCGGCACTGCATCAATCCACAATCAAACCTACACCCTCTTTTCATCCATTTCAAGAGCGTGCGAGTACTTTGGCAGAGTACTTGACAGCATCAAGCCTGATGCTCCTTCGTAGTGTGTTGACGGTCGAGACGGTGCGTTATTGGGTGCGAAAAACCATGAAGGGAGCATACAATGGAAACTCGCCAGTGCTCAAAGCTCTCAGAGATATCATGAAGCGCAATATGCTTCTTGAGCAATGGGTAACTTGATCATCTCACAAATCAGGCACTAATCACAGACTGAAGGTCAAATTTGCCAAGCAGAGGCTCCTTTGCGTTTGTCCATGGCACAGCATCTCCTCGACGTCTGTGATGAACTTCTTATCTGTGCAGACTTGAACGCGCTCATTTGCATCACCCGTGGACTTCTCAGGCCAGCCACGCAACACGCGCTTGCAGAAGCAGGCAGTACGTTCTCGAGCTCGCAATTGAATGCATTTGACTGACAATAGGCTTGACTGCTCCTGCGAAAGCAACACTCGACTCGCTGGCTCGCATCATTTGCAAGGATGGTAGCTACGCAACGTATCATCAGCGAATCGCCATGCATGGACACCATGTTGTTGTACCGTCTTTGGACATCTTTCTGGAAGAGTTGACTATGCTAGCGAGCGCCACACAGCCCAAATGTCAACCTGGCAATGCTCCCAAACGAGTATCCAGTATCGTCAAAGGCGGACCCCACGTCCTTGATCTCGATATGGCCAAATTCCGTAAGTCATCTCGCTTGCATTCGATGCTAACCAGAATTGTACAGTCCACACACATCTGTTGGCATATCAACGTATGCTCAATCGAGAAAATAGCTACGGCAGCTTGTTGGGCACTGGCGCTTACGTTTGTCATCTTTATATTCGACATCAAGATATGGATGGCCCGCAGGTTCCTGAGGTCGGTATGCTGGATGCACTCTCGGAGATGTTTGAGCGACAGCTTATGGTTCCTCTTTAATATTGCCAGGGATTCCGCTTCCCATACAGCGTTCATATGTCAATATGCCTTTGCACTGTTATATCTTGACAGTCGACTGAAGTCTGCGAAAGAATGAATACAAAAGCAGTTTTGAATTGCACATACCTCGGTCAGTATCTCAAAATCCTTCGAGGCGCAGCGAAGGTTTCAAGTTGCGCGCTACTTTATCTGCCTCGTCTGACAATGCGCCTAGCTCCATCACGTTGGAACTATGAACACACCTAGAAAATACTCAGTCTTGAAAGTACAGAGGATGAGAAGATTAGAACTATGCTAAGATTGAATTTCTTTTTTCTTTTTTCTTTTTTCTTCTGACTCAATCAAGTGAGAAAACAGTTCAAAGCACGGTGAACGCAAAGCAGAGAAATCAGTCTCGTCAGAAACAACGAGATTGGTAGAGATCCAAGCATGAATGCAAAATCAGCGTCACGAGGACTCGTCAATGCGCCTTAACCTTGTCCAGAGTCAGCAAGCAAGGTGCTTCAGTTTGTGCGTCGATCCAATGCGCCGTCCATGTTTCGACGGCTTTCGCTATTGGTGGTGTCCAATATTTCTCGTGAGGCTCGACTCCACGTTTGTCTTCAAGCGCAGGGCAGAACAGCCAATAAGCCTTTCCATCTAGAGAAAGCCGTTGCTTTTTCCCATCTGAGGAAAGCGCTTGAGTGAACTCAAAGAGTTTGTTACTCTGGGTTGCAAAAGGACAGGCACTGTCTGACTCAATGAAGTAGCACTTGTCCCAACGGTATTGCTGAATTGTGCCCCAGGCGTCTTGTAAAGCAGGCATTTCTGAATTGCTGCCGCGATGCCTTACCTTCAATGAGCAAATGTCCTTATTCGTAGTGTCTGCCTCTAGCCACTGAGCCCAGCAAGTGCCAAACTGAAGAACAGCGCTCTTTCCAAATGCTTCGAGCGGACATACAGCGTCAAGACCAGCTATCCAATAGCCAGACCACAAAGGAAGTGCGTTTTGTGGATTCAGACTTTTGTCATCTGTCTTGCGCGGACAAAACCAACCGTGACCACGCGTCGCTTCATGCCCGTCGGACACCTGGAAATACTTGTCCTTGATATCACCCTGACCTTGCATACATTCGGGTGTGCTTTTGATGAAGTAGCAATCGTCGTAGATTGGATCTTTTACCAGGCTGGACTCGCCAGGGAGTTCATATTGTGGTAAATTACCGGATTTCCGCCGACTCATCAACTTCAGAGGACAAGAACCATCAGTTGGAGGGGAATCTTTCAGCTCCAACCACCAAGCATCGCAGGCGTATTCGGGTTCGAGATTGGTTGCTAGATCCGGGACGAAGTCACACATATGCTTTGTACTGTCCCACCACGTTGCTGTCCACTCTGGAATCGCACGTGGTGGGTTGAGCGAGGGAGGATCTCCCTTGCGCGGACAGAACCACCCATATTCTTTCTTACGATCTGGGAACTTATCGCTCTTGATTTGAAAGAAGTCGTTGTTGGCATGAGGGCCATTAGGGCAACCATCCGTAACATCCACGAAATAGCAAAGACCATAGTCAGGTTTGATCAGGGCGTGACCTTCCGTACCAAGGGTCTGAATCAACGGATTATAATCGCCTTGTTGCAGACTCATAAGTTTGAAAGGACAAGAGCCATCAGAAGGTTTGGGATTCTTTGCCTCAAGCCAGAAGGCTGCACAAGTACCATATCGCGGTTGATTGCTGGGTCGTGAGATTTGGAGTAAATCACACTTGCCATGATCGCTGTCCTTGAAGAGTGCCGTGACATGTTGAAGGGCGTTGGGTGGATCCACACGGGATCAATTTGTTTTGATAGCGCGAGGACAAAAGTATCCGAAAGATGCAAGCTGTTCCTTGATCTTAATTGAAAAATAGTTGCCATCATGGTCGCTCTTGGGCCCGTGTGGGCACTTTTCATTGATGTTGACGAAGTAGCAATCAGCGTAATCGGTATGCTTGACAACAGTCTCTCCGACCACAGACCTGGGAAGGTATTCATTCTTGACACGACTTTTCAAGACAAATGGACATTCGTCAGAAGCAGTAGAGGGGTCTGTAGAGGGTTCTTCAGACTCTAGCCACCATGCTTGACAGGCGCCAGCAGTAGGCAAACCTGTGGCGACGCTCACTTTGGCGAAAAGGTCATAATTGAGCAGCAAAAGAAGAGTCCAAGATGGCAGAGTGATCGAGATGATGGCCATGGAGCCAAAGACTTGCAACACTGACATGCTGCAAGTTGTAGTGAGCGAACTGACGTGATACTGGGCGTAGGCACTGGCGGTGGGAGCAGAACGTGAATGGTGATCGAGAAGTGTTGAATAAGGCAAGCCGTCCCTTGTGACTAGCTCGTGGTTGACTAGCGCTGCAGGGTAAACTAGGTCGCAAAGCTCGCTTAACTGAGACACAGAGGCACTCCAATTGCAACTAGAGAAAGGGAGTTGAGAGGGACCTGCGATGTCTTATAGCCCAAAGCCCTTAGGGCCCTAGCCCTCTGGGTTGACTGATGTGTCAACACTCAACAAACAGCTCAAATGCGAAATCAGCTGAACACGAAGCAATTCATGGCGAGGATACGACATCGCACATCTGGTCTCCTGGAATATCGCTTAGGCCGATCCTGGGGTCTTGGCTCAATGAGGGAAATGTGATTCCGAAGGCTGAGGAGGCTCAAGGTGTCCGCGAATACTGCAGCGTCAATGCGAGGCCAGTACGCTACCGGTGCAACACTTCAGCGCCGTGGTACAGGAATCGCAAATGCAGGCGATCACCTCAATGCAGCTTCAAACTGGAATCATTCAAATGAGCTTTTGAGAACCCCTGACTATCGCCATGCAGGGAACTGGACAGGGTCATTGAATAGGAATCATGAACACAGCTGCAGCCTGCAAGCCAGCCGAAACAGGCTCTAGCCCGGAGGGGTATTGCCAAGGACTTTGAATAGCAGATTCCGTAAAGTATGCTCAAGCACTCCTGAAACAGCAGTGACAGTACATTGTCAATCAAGGTTGCCAGTGCTGTTGAGAATGTTTGTTCTAGCAATATCTGTAACAGTGGACAGTGCCATTCATACTGCTATAGCCGCAGGAGTGGAGACGTTGGGAGAGATGCTCCTGTTTAGCAAATCCGGGAGTGCATTGCGTGCGAATATCAAAGTAAACTGCATTGTATTGGCTAACGCTGTACAAGCCCTTGTCTTTGAGCTAGTACAGAACAGTGAGGCACATGTGTATTGTAGATTCGTAGACTGTATAGGTGAAGTTGAGCGCGTGATGTGACACTCGAGCCGCGAGCGCAAACCCTCAACAACGCGCTTACAAAGAATCGTTACAACAATCAGAGAAGCACCTTAGACATTTTTGCTTGGAGCCTAATCGCATGCAGCTTATTCATCATTAGTATCATCGCGGCTGTTGGATGGCGCAGAGCGTACTCGATGCCCAATGTTCTCGGGTGACCTTTCCAAATATGGCCAGTGACAGCGAAAGTGGCAGAGGGCGCTGCGATGAAACTCTGTCAGTCCCAGGCGGAACAGTGGAAGCGCCAACGAGTCCTATGCTGGCCGCGGCACAGATGGCGAGCTTGAATCTAGGCGACCCGGCTGACCTCAAGTCTCCGTGCTTCCTGCACAATCGATTCGCTTCCAGCATCAACCTCGCGAGGGTCATGGAAGAGATCCAAGCCGATCGCATCAGCCATCGCTCGCTCGTACAGACGGCAACTGGTGTGCGCGAGGTTGCCCGTCAGATATCCCGAACAACCATTCGCAAATCTGTGGATCGCATCATGATCCTGACCAAGGCGAGAGACAGCGAGTGTGTTTTATTGACACACGTCTTGGCCCGCTGGCTGCTTATGACACCACGATATGGCAAACCCCACGGTGTAACGGTCTTTGTGGATGGGCAGCTGGAGCATTCGAAACGATTTGACAGCAAGGGCTTGCTGGCCTCGCTTCCCTATGATGCAGAGGCCAACAATATGCTTCGATACTGGACGCCTGCACTATGCAAACTCGATCCAGAATTGTTCGATCTCGTCATCACTCTTGGGGGCGACGGTACAGTGCTCTACGCATCTTGGCTCTTCCAAGAGCGCGTCCCGCCCATTCTGTCTTTCGCTCTCGGTTCACTCGGCTTTCTTACGAATTTTGACTTTTCAGGCTTCAAGGCAGACCTCAATCGGATCTTGGACGACGGTATGCGTGTCAACTTGCGAATGCGCTTCACTTGTACAGTACACAAAAGACCACGACGCAGCAGAAATAGCAGCAATGCTCATTCCGTTACAGGCAGGATGAGTGCTGCTGATAGTCCAGTGTTGGATCAACTCAACGGGCATGAACCAGATCAGTCGTTTGAAGTGCTCAACGAACTTGTCGTGGATCGTGGAACGTCACCCTTCATATCCAACCTTGAATTGTGGGGTGATGGCCATCTATTGACTGTTGTGCAAGCGGATGGTTTGATCTTGTCTACACCAACAGGCTCGACGGCCTACTCACTTTCTGCTGGTGGCTCACTTGTGCATCCGGAAATCTCCGCTATGCTCTGCACGCCCGTTTGCCCACACACTTTGTCCTTCCGGCCCATCTTGTTGCCAGATACGATGCAAGTTCGCGTTGTCGTGCCACGCGCGAGTCGTGCACCGGCTTTTGTCAGCTTTGATGGTCGCTCCCGCGTTGCACTGCATGCAGGCGATGCCGTTTCCATTGTTGCTAGTTGCTACCCCGTTCCCACTGTGCTCAAAGCGGATGAAGGACCTCTTGAGTGGGTTGAGAGCGTTAGCCGGAATCTGCGCTGGAATGTACGTGAGAAGCAGAAACCATGGCGCAGGCGAAAGAAGAAGCAGGTGGATGGCGTGGACAGCGAACAGAGTTCTGCGTCTGTTGATATGGACGCTTGGGGCAATGGCAAGCCTACGTCGACAGCAAGCTTCACAACGACTGCCCTCGACGAGGATGTAGATGATCTTACGACGGAGGATGAGAGCGATGGGGAGTCTGATGACATCTCCTCGGATATCTCTGTGCCGCTCAATTTTGGTTCAACGGTGCCTGTCAGCTCTCGTCCACGTGGAGGTAGGCCAGCACGATCGCAGGCGCTCGAGGTCTGGGACATTGATGAAGAATAACGCAAAGCCGCGTCAAGACAGATCAATGGTCAAAGAATTATGTTGTATGAATGCTAATTATGCGTGAGGATGCATGAAGCGCCGTCAGGCGAATCAGAACAGAGCAATAGATGCCAAAAAGCAGAGAAGCGCTGCACTGATCGGGAGCCATGTATCAGAGCTCGACAGAGCTGATCCATGAGACTGCAATGCGGGTCCTGCAGCAGCAGGTGTTCGTGTCGCCACCCACAGCACAACTTGCGACGTCAATGTCCGTGGACCACTCGCCCCAGGCACAACGACCAGTACCGTGCTCGTCGTAGGCGAGGCGCGAACATTGGATGGTGAGCTCGAGAAGACTTGTAAGAGTGTCATGGCCTGTGTTGTCGACTCGCCTGCATCTAAAGTCACAGTCATCACATCTTCTGTGGACGATGTGACATCTGTCAAGAAGATGGTATCGAATGTCTCAGACGTGGTGCTGCCGCGGCTGCTGCTTGGAACTGGTGCTACTGTTGAAGCCGGTTGGGCAAATGCTGTCTGCTGCAGACTGCTTGGAGCATCTGAGCTCGTTATCAAGGGAACGGAAAGTGTCGATGGAAGACTTGTGCCTGACTCCGTCAGTCTGACAGAGCTCGAGTCTGTGGGGAGGATGCTGCTCGCGATAATTGCGCTTATGTACGCGCTCGTTCCAGTGTTGCTCAGGGCCACCGTCTGCTGTGTAGATGATGCCTGTGGACTCTGTGTCTGCGAAGAGATAGGTTGTGTCTGCGAAGAGATAGGTTGTGCAGTCGATGAGACGATGGCAGTGATGGTGCTTGGTAGACTGGTTGAGTTGATGGCGACTTGCTGTCGTCTACCTAGACGTGCTTGCCGTACTTGTCCCTCAAGCTTGTCAAAGACTTGCCTCTCCAGTCCATCTATACCAGACCCGCGACGAAGCTGTAGCGTGAGCAGTTGCGATGACGAGAGTCCTGCCATCGTACCAGCTGTGTGAGAAGCGCTGGTCGAAGCAGCTCGGCATGGATGTGCAGTAGGAGTGTCAGAACGATGCATTGAGTCCGGGTGCTGAGCATGATTGTCTAGGGCAAGCTAGAAGATGCCGATAGCAATAGTCTGGTAGATGGTTCACAGAGAGAGACTCTGGTCCCCTGGCCACGGTTTGAAGCATTGGGCGTGCGCACACTGAAACAACTTCCGATCATGTCCATTAGAGATGAAAGAGCTATAGAACGTATTGTATGAAGAAGAGACGGATAGAAGCGAGCGTGTCTGCGTCGAAGGTGTGAAGAAAGGGAGAAAAGATCTAGCAAGAACGCAGAGGGGGAAAACGAGGGAATAGAAAAGCGAGTGTGGTCGAGAAGGGGCAGCTCGGGGGCCTGTGCTGAATGGTAGGTGGTCTCTTGGATGCGTCTACTGTTGTGTGCATCTGCCAAGGGACTTGTGTCGTCTCTTTCAAAATGGTGTGTATGTCATGGTCTGCAAGGTCAGTCATCCAGGTCTCGCCGACCAGGAGCACTGCCAGTCTCACTGCTTGGACTCAGCATCTCGTCTTTACCCATGCGAGTACGACGCTTGAAGAAGTTGCTAAACTTGCCTGGGCTGCTCGAAGGCTTTGTACCAGCTGCGGCGCTATGGCTGCTGCTGGTCATCGGTGGTTCTGCACTCCGCTGTGAGGCACGCCCCACAGAGGTTGAGGTTGGCACTGCTTGGATCTCACTGGTGCTGCTCATAGCTGCCGGTATCGATGAAGACAGTTCACCGCTGCCGCCAGTCACAGACTCTGCAGAAATATCACTACGCAGCTTGCGACCACCAAGAATGCTGAACTCATTATCTCCACGAAGCGAAGATGTTTGACTGGATCGCCGCGAGCGTCTGCCTTCACCTGCGACTTGTGAAGGAGCAAGGACTGTATGACGGTTGGACTCATCGAGTAGTCGAAGACTTGTCCGTGATGATCCAGGACTGCTGCGATGCATTGCATTGGTAGGCACAGGTACAGGCACGGCTTGTGTTGCCGGCGATCCCTCGGGCATTTCAGGAATAGATGCTTGAACTGGAGCAGTTGCAGAACTACCTGCTGTCGGCATTGTGGATGAATTGTCATGTCTCAAGGATGGCAAGGATGCATGACGCGGCCCGTCTTGTGCGCGCTGCTGCTGACCTGGCGCTTGACGCTTCGTAGGCAACGTGTTTGATCTCGACACTGCGCCTGATGCGGGAGGCAGCGGAGAGCTGCTCTTCGCAAAGGAAGCTGGCAGGTTGGCCCCTCCCTGCGTTCCATCAGCTGACTTGGGACTGCGCAATGAAAAGCTACGTCTCGGCGTGTTGAGCGTCTTTCGGCGTAAAAGCCCGGCAGCGCGTTTGGGCGACCCAGCGACATCAGTACCTGTTGCTTGTTGCGCTGGTCCAGTAGGCGGACACATGTCTAGCAAAAAGTGCGCCTGATTATCAATCAGGAACACGAGAACCTTCTGCGACAAGTGATACTCTTGCGGAGCCATGTCATCACGCGGGTGGGACAGAACGCCAGGCTGGAAGATGGCGCTCAGATTTTCGCTCGTCATGCGATTCATCTCTGCTTTCGAGGCAAAGACTGCGAGTAGATCGAGAATGTAGAGGAGCAGTTGTCGATTGACGGGCGGTAGGGAAGAGACGAGTTCCTGCATTCTGGGGATGGCGCGCTCGAGTGGCCAGTCATTGCGAATGGGCTCGCGCACGGAATCATACCAATCGGTAGGAATGATTGGGTCTGGTAGATGATTCAGGTAGCGGCGCAGGACATTGGCAGCATCATGCACGGTATAGGTGTTCCACTCATGCTGCTTGCCATACTTTGGCGGCAGGTCAAAGACTTCCTGCAACTCCTTGATGCGCTTGGCACTGCCGCTAAGTCGAAAGATGCCCTCGACCTCGGTTGCATGCTCCTTTAGAAATAAGCCACACTTGGCGACGACGACAGGGATGTGGCCGTAGATGAAGGGCTGGCCTTGGTCATTATAGAGCGATATCGCGACATTTGCATACTGGATACTCTGATGCAGTGGGACGCCAAAGATGCCTAATTGTTAGCTTCAGGCGACAAAGACGCGCTTCGGCGCAGATAGGGACTGACCCTTGCTTGGCTGTTCTTCCTTCTTGGAAGGTTTGGATTTGAAGCGGGCCCACCACGAGCTTAGGCCTTCCTTTGCGTGTTCCTGTTGTGGTTGGTGCTGATGAGGCAAGTCGCGCGAAGCAGCAGTGGTCATCTAAGGGCTCACTGGCATGCGCAGGCGACAAGATCCCGATTGCAAAGCGAAAATGCCTATGCGCAGAGAGAAGAAGCGGGTGGCTGTCGGAAAGGACCTGAAACCGGGAAGGGCCTGAAATGCGAGTGAGAGAATAGAGAGCTAGAGGAGTGGTGATGCGCCGAGAGCGGGCCTGTGCATGCGCCGGAATCACAGGAGGACGGGCGCGCGAGGGGAGGCAGGAGGGAAGAGAGTAGGGAGGGTGTTCTTGCTGCTTGTTGTTGTCCTTTGCGAGGATTTCGGGCTCTGCGTCGAATTTGCACATCTGCACACAGACTCAACTTACTCAAGGCATCAGGGACAGGAAGTGTTGCTGGGGAAGAGACATCTGCTGGGATTCTGCTCATACTGCTCATACTGCTTTCATGACTTGCTCGAGGGCTTAAATCTATCTACAAAGGCATATGCCTGTTCTGCTCCCAGAATCACCTACAGAATACCGCTTTGACATAGACGATGATGAACTCCATGCACTTATGGACCTCCAGGAGCAGGGCCTTCTCCCTCCAGCCAAGGATGAGCTTGCAACAACCATCGAGTCATCTTTACTCACCGCCGATGACTTGCTCACCCACAATCAGGAGCAAGATAGCGCAGAGCAGATCGGTACGTGAGTACGCGTGACTCCCCAGCTGAGCTAATCTTGTCCAGACGCCAAGGTGACACGCCAAGAAGTCCTCGATATCGAGGAAATCCGCAAACAAGTCAATCTAGCCCCACTCGAGCGGTTCAGAGCCAAGTACAAGCATCTCTCAGTATCCGATCTCGTTGCTCCTGCCTGGTGCGAGCTTCAATTTCAATATGCACTTGAAAAGACGGGCAAAAAGCGAAGAACAGTGGCCATGAAGCAAGGGACTAAGATACACGCTGCATTGGAACTCGAAGTCCATCAGACCGTGCCATTTGAAGTGAGCAAAACCATCAAAGAGGAGAAGCTTGGGCTGCAGCTCCTCAAGCTATACACAGGCTTGCTCGAATTACAGCATGGCAATCTCACGCGCGAGCTCCATGTCTTTGGCACTATTGATGGCATCCACATCAAGGGCGTCATTGATGAGCTTGTTGCTGTCGAGAAAGCGCCTGTATCTCAAGAGCGGGCCATGATGGATAACTTCTTCGCCGGTAGTGCTAAAAGTCCGACCAAACAAATCATCCTGAGCGATGCCAAGACACGAGTCTCTACGCGACCTCCGTCTGAAAGTCAAGTGGGACAAGCCAAGCTACAACTCATGCTCTACCGTACTCTTCTCCGCGATATGGCAGACTTTGACTTTGCCGGACTGCTGAAGCGCGACAAACTAGATGGTACACAACTCTTCTCTGATGCTTTCCTTGCACAGTCGCTCGAGACGCTCATGCCATTCGAGCAAGACGCTGAATCCACCATCACGCAGCGTAATTCACTCAACGGATTTTGGCATTTATTGCGGCCTACACTTCAGAACATGAAGGATAGGATATCGAGCAATCTCGTCATCAACTACATTCATCAAAAGTCGAAGCAAGAGATTGCGCGCGTCTCCTTTGAAGTGGATGAAGCATGGCAAGCTGACCAGATGAAGCAGGTTCTGGGTTGGTGGCGAGGCCATCATGAACCGCGCGGTGTCGAAATAGAAGAAGCCTTCAAATGTCGTCTTTGCGATTTCGAGGAAGGCTGCAGCTGGAAGCTGGCCAAGATTGAAGAACATGTCCATCAAAGACGGCAGCAGCGTAACATTAAGGGTAACCTAGGTTGATGTATATACACGGCAGATATAGTAAGGTAATCTCAGCATCTTGTCGGGTCGTGTCTTCTTGTGCGTTCCGCCATATCTGACCCAACCTCCGTTTCCATACTTTCTAACCCATCGAGCAATCCAGCACGATCGCCAGGCTTGAGCTCTTGGCCCATCTTGTTCTTCCCCTCAATGCGTGTTATGGAAATCTCGACACCAACAATAGCCTTCTTCATGATGGCAGTGTACGGCGCCGGCGCATCCGACACTTGCCATGGCTGAGGCGCATCCCCTCCAGTATAGCCCATACTCTCCTCGCACAAGGACGACAGGTCATCAATCTGCTTATCGAGGAATACATCAGCCTCATCTGACTTGTCGCCGAAGACGCGCAACTTGCCATAAACCTGCACAGCGGCATAGTTCCATGTAGGTACCACTTTACCTGTCGTTGGTTTGGTCTCCTTGTAGAACTTTGGAGTGATGTAATGATGTGCAGGGACGGTAAACATGACGAGGGCCTCTTCCTTGAATTGGTTGGCTGCTTCAATGAGCGCTTTAGCTTGTGGGTTCGCACGAGCTAGATGACCGCGCAGACGACCAAAACCATTGGCATCTCCGCTGTCTACATCAAGTACCCACGGAATGTGCGAAGCTTGTAAAGTCGCAGCGAGCTCAGAGGGCTGATGAGTAATGAAGAGACCAAGCGGGTGCTGCTTGATGATGGCAAAAAGTTCTTTCAGCGAGCCTTCTGCATGTACTGCCCGAATATACATGCTAGATGATGCAGATTAGCTAAAGGCAGATCTATGTGGCGTATAGCCTGTGAAGCTATGAGGGCGATGTGAACGATACGGTTATCGATGCGTTGGACAACTTTCAGATGGCGACCGAGACTATTCTACCAGAAACTTGCAGAAAGTTTCGCGCTACAAGTGCTTAAGCTTCAAAGACAGTTGCGTACCTTGTGCACCATATACGACAGATAAAGGCCATTGCTAGCTGATGATGGTTGTTCTCGTGTTGATCTCTGCTCTGGAGCTATGCATGTACATTTGGTAGCTACCAATTTAAGGTTATGTGACATGCAGAGCACTGGTGACATTGAAAAATACGAAAGCCAATGGCGACTGTTACCCAATAGTCACTAGCCATAGCTTAAAAATGCAGACCTTCACCCCTGAAAGCAAATGGTCTTAGCAGACAGAAATGTCAAAACGGGATTTGTTGAACGACATTCGCCTTCTGCAGCATGTGGCAACCCGACTGGCAGGCAAAACAATTGCAGGCTTAATAATAAAATGGCTCAATCTTGAGCATCCAAGAGACCTGTAGGCCAGCGCATATACCATGTCGATTTGTATAATGTAACCAGCCTTGCGGCCGCTTTCGTGTAACAATGTCCTGGTTGCAGAAAGCCCCAAGGAGCAAATTGTAGGATGGGTCCGTTTTTATGCCTGAACACATTACAATTGTCAAAGCCATGAAATGATCAAGTTACCAGGGCACTAGCTCAACGACGAAATGAGTTTTCCAAGCAGTGACAGCAATCAAGGGAGATGGTAAAGAGCGGACGCACAGGAAGTAATGGAAGAAAGCTTATTTCATTTTGAGGATAGCTGTAAGCATCTGGTTACTCTTGGTCCTTCTCCTCCTGAGTCTCACCAGAGGACTTGCCTCCCTTCTTGCCAAGCTCGACGGGGTCTCCACCCTTGAACTCACTGTGCTGTTAGCTTACTGTTTCCTGCAGTGATGAGCAATGTACCCAGTGCCAACGCGCTTGTCGGGCTGACCATCCTTGCGAAGGCCGTCGTGTTCAGTGGGCTTGTAGTCAGACATGTTTGTAGTAGAAGTCTTTTTGTTGTTTTGAACTTGGAGAGATTCTGTCGAGTAAGAAGAGCTGGGAGTACTCTGTTCTTATAGACATTTCTTCAAGGTCAAGCGTTGCAGTGACATCACGATGTCGTCGTGCCTGTGATGTCGTCGTCGTGTCATATAGCAAGTATCCTGACACAATCGTGTTGTCATACCTAGATCGCGCGGGGTCAGACGTATGTTACGATGCGTGTCAAACACGACCAACCTCATGATCTGCTCAAGTACAGCATAAGAGACGCTCCGCATGGCTTGTATGATGCCCTATGATGCCCTAGACGGAGTAGACATCCAAGCAATACGATTGGTGGTCAAGTGTCATTGTGCTTGTAGCAGTGAGCTTGATGCTGTCAGCAAGCACAGCATTTAAACGCCCAGCATCGTGAAGCGGCTGCGACCCGTCACCTCGGCATGCAAGGCACGTCAGCAGTTATTGAATCTGGGGAAGCAGGCTCGTTGATGTCGTCGTCACTCGTCGGGTGGTGTTTCTCCATCTGGCATGAAGATCTAAGATGCAGCCGAGATCTCGCTCTGGAAAATGAAATTCGTACGTAAGCAATGACATGACAAGTACGGAAAGAAGACGACATCAAGACGTAAGAGGTCAGTGATATAGAATGCTCATGTCAGCAAAAACGCAACTGCCAATAACAATGCACTCTCAAAAAGCTAGCAACATAAGATGAAACGCTAGATGAGTCTAAGATGACACTCATCAAAGCTGCTCGACTTCCATGACGGAGTGTCCGCCATCCTGAATGACAATTTCACACCCAGACACATACACCAATCCATCTTGCCGCACAAACAACAAGGGTACTTTCTTGTAATGCAGCATTTCCTGTGCAGAGGGCATGGCCACTTCCAAGGCAACCAAACCAGAAGAGGTCCCCGACATTGTCTCATAACCGGACGTATCCTGCGTCATGCGCGTAATAGCCAATGGACCTACAGCACCCAACCAAATCTCCAAGGTAGGTAGATGACTGCCTTGCTGCAAGAAATGATTCACGAGCAACAATAACCGTCCATTGCTGAGAACGCTGGGTCGTGCTTCAAGGACGGGGAATGGTGTGATGGCTGTTTCGAGATGAATCTCTGAAGCTTGTTCCGGTTGTTGTGGCAAGAGTCCATTGATTGCGGCGAAATCAGGGTCCATATCCACTGGTTGCTCTGCATCCGGTAAGAGCTGTGCAGTCCCTGCTGTATCGGGTTGAAGGGTTGTTGTGACATCCACTTGTTCTGGTTGCATAGCAGGCTCTGACTCTGCCGCGGCGGCCTTGTCCTCAACCTTCTCTGCCTCCACTTCCTTTTCACCGCGACGACGACGTTTGGTTGGTTCAGCAATTTGTGCGACATCACGACGACCACGCTTCGGTCGTCCAGCCGCCAAACTCTTGATAGCTTCCCCATCGTCCTCCTTCCCTGCCTCCTGCAATAAGGCCTCATCATGCACTGTTTCCGATAAGACCGTTTCAACCGTTGGTTCCGGTACAGCATCGGCACCTACTTGATCCAAGCAATCCAAAAAACTAAACTCAAATTGCGTGACACCCACCACGAGCCAACAGAGTGGATCATCTGCTTTGGGAGTGCCATGTTCATCTAATGAGGCATGATCCCAGCATGTCGTTGGGTCTGCTTGATGACCATTCAGTTCCTTCATCATGCGTTGAGCGCGTGAGGCAGAAAGGTAGAGTTTTGTACCAAAACGTTGAGGTTGCGTTTGTGTGGTGGAGACGGGAGCGACGTTGGATTGATCCAAGATGGCTTGAGTCTCTGTATCGAGCAACGGCACATCCTTAGCTTGCGCTTCTGTTGTGTCCTTGGAGGGTTGATCGAATTGGTTGACAGAAGCAGGGAGCGTGTAATGCGGCAATAGCGAGGTATCTGCCTCCACAACAGCTTCATCTACCGTTGGATCAGCCACATAACGCGCACTATAGTCTTGCTCATCGAGTGATGGATCCAACACACTCCCGGCCTGTTGCGTACCTTCCTGTGCCTCATACGAGGATCCTTGCATCTCTGGTGACCAACGCTCAAAGATGAGTTTTTGCATTTGTGAGAGGTATCCCATATCTTGCTCTTCAATCAAGTTATTCTCAACACGCTTCACAATCAATGGTTCAGAAACAAAGCCCGTTTGGATATTGCTGAGGGAGACTTTTGCACCATAGGGAATCGGGATATTGCCCTGCGCATCCGGTTCACCGGGTGAGAACAAGTCAATGCGAAAGGGAGCCCAAGAATCAGCCTTGACAATCATACTGCCAAATTCCTCACCGAGATACTTGGTGCGTACGGTTTGTGAATTGATGCGATTGTACAGGGCAATGAGACCACCGTGTTTTAGAATCGGCACCTGCATGCGTGTTTTGGTGGTCTTTTTGGTGGCTTTACTGATGATGTAGACATCATCCGTATCGAAATCAGCAAACGGTACATGCGCTGGATGGACAGCACCTTTTGCAGCAATCTGTAGACGAAGGGAGAATTTCTTGGATTTCCCAACAGACCCGGCATTGATGTGGAGTTGCTTGAAGTAGATGTGTCCATTTGTATCGAGTTGAGCGGTTTGTAGGATACTCTGTGAGCCGATATCAGCATGCACCGACATGTGCGCTGTGGGTGTGTCTCCCAGCAACGGTGCGTAATTCCCAGAAATGGTACAATATGGGGGTGGTGTCAAGAAGCGCTTCTCATGACCATACGACTTTTGACCAATTTGCGCATACGTGCAACGCAGGGTCGTCAAGCGTGGTTCTCGAATAGGGTCAGGTGCACGCGCTCCGTATTGTTGATGCAGTAGGAGTGGTAGGTGTTGCGTGATGACTTGACGGATGCGAGTGAGGCGCGCTGTGGCATCTTGCCATTTTGGTGGGAAGCCTGGCCATTTGCGTTTACGATTGATGGGCGGTGCTGGGATGGTGGCGGCTTGCTGATGTTGCCTGTTGCGCGCGAGTTGTTGTTGGTGTTGCTGATGTTGATGGAGCTGTTGTTGCTGCTGCTGCTGGTAGAGTTGCTGCTGCTGTTGCTGCTGTAGCATGGGCAACTGCAAATTGAGGGGCAAGTCATTAGTTTGGAGTCCCTGTGCATTGGCATGGGCGATATGGGAGAGGCCATAATCGACAGTGTCTTGGGTGAATTCTTCATCATTGGCAACGCGCTCATGATGCTCCTCTGTGAATTGAGTATGCATGAGCTCTAGATATTCGCGCTCTCGATCTTGGAAGGAGCCGCCTTGGCCTGTGAGATCGAGCTCAATGGCGGATAAGAGGGACTGCATGCCATCTGCATTCTGGCCGGCGGCTGTTGTAGCTGTAGCAGTAGCTGTAGCAGATGCAGTGGATGCATTGACATCTTGCGCTTTGGCTAGGTTTGCGAGGGATGGCTGGAAATGTTGATGTTGTTGTTGCTGCTCGGCGGCCGTCTGCTGCTTCTTCTTCTTCTGCTGCTGCTTCTTGGGCTTCTTGGGGATAGCGAGGGAGGAGCGGGCGGGTGAAGTGGAAGCAGCTGGAGCACTAGCCGTGGTGGGTGCGTGGTCATGCTGGTGAGCGAGTCGCACCACGGCGGCATCGATGGGGTCCAGGTCTGCGGCTGTTTGCTGCTGCTGCTTCTGCTTCTGCTGGACATCCTGTTGCTGCGACATGTTCTCTCTGTCTGCTGCTCTTCACAACAAACACACAGACTACCTGCTGCTGCGTCTCACGTTCTTCTTGCTGCGAGTCGTGAGAGGGAAGGAAGGGAGGGAGGAAGAGTTCTGTAGGCTGAAGTTGGTGAGCAGCAGCAGTCATTGGTGTAGATGGGCCTGGTAGCAGTGGATTGTCAGCCTCATGCAGGTCTTCAGCGTCGTAGCAGTGTCTCCCATGCCAGCCCAGTAGTCTACTCTCTATAATATCATTCCTATTTATGACTGCTTCCCCTGTCCCCGGCAACTTCCCTCCCTCAGTCAAGTTCTTTCCTCAGCACACCACTTTCTCCCTTCACCACCCATACCTGACTATACCTCAGCAACCATATTCTCCACCCACCTCAACTCATCTCACCACCCCTTCAACTCAAAGCGCACAGGCTCATCAGCAGCAGATCCCATATACAGCCATTAACCAATCAAAAAAAATGTCTCCTCACGCAACCAACACCGATGCCGTCAATGGCGCATCCTCCTCTTCTGCTGCTCCTGCTCCTGCTGCCGCTGGACCCAAACTGACCGTCAAGTCAGACAAGTCGCGAGTGGACGGGCAGGGAAACATCCTCACAGACTACCTCTACGAAAACTCTGTTGTCAAGAAGCAAGCAGATGGATCCGTTGAAATCATCCCAACCCAGCACAAAGTCCAATTCAAGACCCAGACAAAAGTCCCAAAGACAGGTCTCATGATGGTCGGCTTGGGTGGTAACAACGGCAGTACCATGACCGCTGTTGTCCATGCAAACCGCCGCAAAGTCGAGTTCCAGACGCGTCGTGGCGCCTATCAGTCCAACTACTATGGATCTGTCACGCAAGCTGCAACCGTCAAGCTCGGTATCGATGAGCAAGGTGATGACTTTTACGTCCCCTTCAACCAAGTCCTGCCCATGGTCAACCCCAATGATCTCGTCATTGGCGGATGGGATATCTCCAACCTCAACCTCGCTGAAGCCATGCAGCGCGCTCAAGTGCTCGAGTATGACTTGCAACGTCAAGTCAGCAAGGAACTCGCCGCATACACACCTCTCCCCTCGGTCTACTACCCAGACTTCATTGCTGCCAACCAAGGTGAGCGTGCCAACAACGTCATTCCCGGTGATGACAAGTGGGCTCACGTCGAGCACCTGCGTAAAGACATGCGTGAATTCAAGGAGAAGCACGGTCTTGAGCAATTGATTGTCATGTGGACTGCCAATACCGAGCGTTACGCAGAAATCATCCCCGGTGTCAACGACACGGCAGACAACTTGCTCAAATCCATCAAGGCTTCGCATGCAGAGATTGCACCTTCTACCATCTTTGCTGTTGCTTGTATCTTGGATGGCACACCTTTCGTCAATGGATCTCCTCAAAACACCTTCGTGCCTGGTTGTCTTGAACTTGCCGAACGTCACAAGTCCTTTGTGGGTGGTGATGACTTCAAGTCTGGTCAAACAAAGCTCAAGTCTGTCCTTGCGCAGTTCCTGGTGGATGCCGGTATTCGTCCAGTGTCGATCGCTTCCTACAACCATTTGGGAAACAATGATGGCTTGAACTTGTCGGCACCTCAGCAATTCCGCTCAAAGGAGATCTCCAAGGCTTCTGTGGTGGATGATATCATTGCCTCCAACCAGCTCCTCTACAACGAGGAGAAGGGCAAGACGATTGATCACACCATTGTCATCAAGTACCTCAAAGCTGTTGGTGATACCAAGATTGCTATGGATTCGTATGAATCAGAGATTCTCATGGGTGGTCGCAACACCATCACCGTCAACACTGTCTGTGAAGATTCATTGCTCGCAACACCCCTCATCATTGACTTGGTGGTTGTGGCAGAACTCTTTTCGCGTGTGCAGTACAAGAGCGAAGGTGATGCAGAGTGGCAAAACTTCCATGCCATCTTGACAGTCTTGTCGTATTGGCTCAAAGCACCCCTTCACAAGCCAGAGCGTGAAGCCATCAATGGTCTCAACAAGCAACGACAGGCATTGGAGAACTTGATGCGTGCATTTATTGGATTACCACCAAACAATGAGATGCGTCTTGAGTCCATTGCTACCATCTAGTGTGTTGTCTTTTTTTGCGTATAGAGCTGAGGCTAGATGTAGTCTCTTGTAGGTGAACTAGTACCTCTTCTTTTACCTGTTCATCCCCCTTGCCTCCTGTCTGTTGAGATCAGCGGCCTCATTTCCGCGAAATTGGGTCACGGCCCGCTGTCAATGTGCAATGACACGACGACATGATCATGAGCGCAAATATGTTGAATGCAGCAGTGCTGCAGTAGCTGCATCAGACCACTCTCGCAGGACGCATGAGGATAGACCACGGGCGAGAAATCTTCCCCCTGACAGTCTGGCCTTCCTATCCGAGCTTGTAATCTCTTTTCCATACAAATAATCCCCCTATCTCCCACGTAGATGACGTCAAAATCTTCCAATTTTGTCCCACGCGAAAAAAAAGGGCTCAAGCGGGCGAGCACTGGGCAGGTCAAAGCATCAGCAAAAGATAAAGAGACGCCTGCTCCATCGACGCATCTACCCAACAGATGTCTGATAGTACAACTACAACCAAAGCCAACACTGCGCCTTCTCGCTACAGCGGTGTTCAATCTGCAACAGACAGACTTGCCGCCGCCTCACTCACCAACGACACGAACTCGGCAGCAGCAACGAGTGATGATGACAATGAAGAAGCGATCGGTGGTAGTATGATTTCACAACCACCCGTTCGTCCAACCATGCAACGTCGTCGCTCTTCGCGCAAGTCTATCTCTGCTGAAATCGAACATGCTAGGAAAGTCATTGATTTTGGTGGCGATGTGAGTGATGACGATGAAGGCGCTGCTGCAGAGAGTGATGAGGAAGATGACTCACCTGCTGTACCGTATGCGTTTGCGTTTGATATCGATGGTGTCTTGTTGCGCGGTGGTCATACCATCCCCCAAGCAAAAGAAGCAATGGCCATCTTGAATGGTAAGAATGAGCGACATCTCAAGATCCCTTACATCTTCATCACGAATGGTGGTGGTAAATTGGAAGATGCGCGATGTCGCGAACTCGCTGAAAAGCTGGACGTTGAAACCTCTGTTGCGCAATTCATCCAGTCGCATACACCCTTCCAGCAAATGACAACACTGTATGAGACTGTCTTGGTCGTTGGCGGTGAAGGCAATGCGTGTCGTGAGATTGCTGAATCGTACGGTTTCAAAAATGTCATTACACCAGGTGATATCATTGCCTGGGACCCTAGTATTGTTCCCTTTCGCACACTACGACAAGAAGAACTCGATCTCTGCAAACCCCGTGATTTCTCAAAAATCAAAATCGAAGCAATCTTCTTCTTTGCCGATTCACGAGATTGGGCGAGTGATGCACAAATCATTATTGATGTGCTCCTCTCAAAGGACGGATACTTGCATTCTCGCAACAAGGAAATGACACAAGCTTGTCCCATCTTCTTCAGTAACCCAGACATCACTTGGTCGACCGATCACTGCCTACCACGATTCGGTCTGGGTGCATTGCGTCTCAGTATCAGTGCACTCTGGGATGATGCAACAGACGGCAAAACGCCACTCAAGCTCGTTCAGCTCGGTAAACCCTACGGCGAGACGTATCGCTATGCAACACGTCTTCTTACCGAATGGCGTGCCTTGGAGCATGGTATTGAAGAACCACCGCGTCATATCTACATGGTGGGTGATAACCCAGAATCTGATATTCGTGGCGCCAATATGGCAGGTTGGGAATCCTTGCTCGTGCTGACGGGTGTTTACAAGGAGGAACAAGGACCACCCAAGTATAAGCCAACGACCATCCAAAAGGACGTGCTTGAGGCTGTCAAGTGGGCCATTGAGCGCGAAGAGAAGATTGGTGGATTCTAAAGCAACGATTTGTTCAACTCCCTATATAGATTATTCTTTCACTTCAACACACTCATTATGCGTCTGTCTGAGCCAGATTGTCGCAAACGCTGGCCATCCACCAATAGACAATTGGCTTGTCGTGTTCAATGTTTGGTAGCAGTACTTTACAGAATTTTTGGCAGCATGCATATCGCTCATTTTGTGAAGCACATACTTTGCTGGCGGCGACGATGGGTGTCAAATGGTTGTTGCAGGCCGTGTAGCAATGCTGAACATCATTACTGCTTGCTCGGGATAGTTTGTTGCATTCACCAACACAGCAGACTGTAAGGCATCTGGTTGATTTGACTTGTTGACTGCAGGATCCAGCACATCCTTCGAAGAATGCGAGTCCCACAGCGCTCATGTCGCTGGCTTGTGCGTTGGCTGTTGCTTCGTTTGTTTGGCAGAGAACCAGTAAGATCATCCAAGGCCGACCTTTCATCCTGGCTGTTGCTTCGTTTGTTTGGCAGAGAACCAGTAAGATCATCCAAGGCCGACCTTTCATCCTGGCTCTCGCAGATGATCCCAAATTTGTCCCTTCGTAACAAGATCACCGGCTAGGAGCTACTTAGCAGCTAGGAATGCGACAGGTACTTAGAGAGAGACTGACGTGTCAGATCGTACTCTCGAGTGCTACTAGGCTCGCGACTCCATGGATGGGGTCTGAAGGCCAAGGCCTAGGCCTTGACGGCTCATTGCGTAGCCATTGTCAGTTACCCCTGAAGTCTAGACCTAGAGCTTTGGTTTGGCATCACACTTCTGCAACTGCTTCAAGTACTTGCACTCGCGAAGGATATGCAACATCGCCTGTTTGATATTTTGCGACAGGAGGTTAATTCCGTTGACTCAGCTCACGACTCGATTCGATAGATACTGAAGTTCGAGTCAGTATGCTTCTTCTTTTGATGTCCATCACTGATTGCAAGGAAATAATAGCTGCAGCAGACGGATAATGTTGCATACACGTCTCAAGATCTGCAGCGGCAGCTGAAATCGGAAAGGCACTGTATTTCGCAAGCTTACAAGTCTAGACTCTGTAGCTGGAGACGGAGTCTGGAATTGAACATGAAGACTGCAATGTCACTGCATACGATGATACGAGCACGCATGCAAATATTGTATCCGAGGTAGCATCCGTGCACATGTAACTTGATCAGCTGCGCAGTCCGAGGGCCGGCAGTAGCAAGACTCATGAGCCCACTCACAATCTGTGCTGGGATTTGAATGTTATCCTCGCGAATCGCAGTGAGGAAGGTCAACCATTGCCAAGCGTTCCAAAGGCCCAGGCAAAACCAGAAGATCGAGCTCCAGCAATACAATCACTTGATGCCCACGTTGCAGATGCATATGCCGGGATATCACAGTCGCAAGCTAGTAGCTGCCACGTGTGCTCACTGCGTAGGCACAGCCACATTGACAAACAGGCTTAAGGCGGTCGATTGGTCGCAAAAGGGATGCCGACAAGCTTAAGGGGTACAATTTTCGAGGCCATCAATGGCACGCGCGATGACTATCTTCGCGTAGCGTTCTGGCTTGACCATAGAAGTGCACAGTGTTCAATCGAAGCAGATCTCTAAGAGCCATTGCTTGAGACTATCTGGAGGGTTGGTAACAAAGCATTCCTTAGAGTTCACCTGCTGGCATTGCAGCTGCAGGCAAAAATCTTTTCGGAATGGGTCGGCCCGGATAAGTTGATAAGGTCTGGGGCGATCTCGTATCATCCCGCTCATTTGTTACCTAACCCCTGAGGCCCTAGATGCACCAATGCGGTAGCAGCGCCATTGCGTGCACATTCAGTCTCGCGATTGCGTGATCAGCCCCTGAATTCCCATGATTTTCTTCTATAAAATGATTCAGAATTCCCACTTAGCGTACCCTCTTAAGCTCATCTTGACCTCCAGTCATTCAAGCAGCAGTGGTCCATTCGTATCTCCAAGCGTCGCATCCTTGCAATCGTGCAACTACGAGAACGTTCACTTGCAAGCAACCCTACTACCATCTCTTGGCTAACCTCCCTACAGTCACCGTGTTCATCATGATCCCCAAGATGTTTAAACTGCGTCCAATCAGCACTATGGTGGCAACTGCTCAGCTCTTCAATTTGCTTTTACAGTCTGTCTTTTTGGCTGGCCTCTTCTACAATCATGGCATTCTGTCTGTTTCGGCAAAGGACTGCAAGGCATTTTGGCTCACTCTCAAAGATACAACCAACGGATATGACTACAAGGACACCCATTGCCAGTATGTGCTCAAGTCAGGAAAAGGAGTCAATGTTCCGCAAACCATTCACAATGTTGACGAGGGAATCTGCTTTTATGTTCCTGAAGACGAAAATTGTCCCCACGGAGGAGAACATGGCGAAGAAAACTGGTTCAGAGAGCATCGTCCAAATAATGGCCAAGGAAGTTTCGGAATTTTTTGCTCACCTCGAAACCTCCTCGATCAACCTGAAAAACTCCCTACGAATCTAGACAAAGACATTTCTGTTTATTGGCAACTTACCGGCGATCGCTTTTGTCCTGCTCGAATTTTCTCTCATAAATAGAAGTATTCTACTTCCTCATAGATTAAAGTAGACCGTCCCTCTGCTTTTCTATATACTTTCAAACATCCGGTCCTGCTGTTTACTGATCTCTGCTGGTAGTAGGCACGCCCAATCGCAGTCACGGACCAGATCATGAGATATATGACAAGCACAACACTTAGGCTTATGAGCCCATCAAGCAAGAAGATGAAGATTCTCACAATGGAGACTGAGAGCTGTCAATGTCAAGAGAGGAAATGCATCCACACCGACTTTTTCAAATTACATTGATTTCCTGCCTGAGTTATATTTCGGGGTCTCGCAACCCTCGATAAACGACCGCAGCCTACAGATCAAACGATGTCTGGGCCCAATTGGCGTTCAAACTATCGACAGGCTCCTGAACATTCAAAATGAAATGGTTAATACTGATCGACTTCATGTGCAAACTACATTTGCGGCTGCAGGACTGTGCTCTACCGACCCCCTTCAAAGTTCTTTCTGGCTTATCTGTTCGTCGATTATTACTACTCTTATAGCATATTAGGCCCAAGACCACTAAGCTCATCGACTCATCACATTGGACGCTAGCCCGGACTTAATAATCCATAGATCAGCTGCAAACAACCTCCTTAAGATGACTTTTGTAGTTTGGCAAGGATGTTACTTGAAGCGAAATGTGGACATGGTATAAGATTGGCTACTCGGTTATGTTCATAGCAGTCAGGCATAGCCCGAGTAGAGGCAAGCAATGAAATATGTTCAGTAACTTCTGTTGCTACAGTTTCGAACATGTGCACGTGAGGTTATACATGTTTCGTGCTGTGGTAACTGTAATGACTGGGCTCGAAGGGGACTGACGGAGATAAGTTGGAAGCTGTGACGTCAGCGCAAGGTACGAGGCAGAGCTGGTCGAGTTGACTTCGGAGATACTGGACAACAAGACCGTTAGGTAGTAGCAATTCTACCTGTGTACGAAGTTGGTGAATGAAGAACAAGGCAGCAAAAGGCTATCCTTTTATCTTCATCAGACTAGAGCTAGAAGCAAGAAAGACAAGAGGTAGAACCCATGAAACAGTAAGACAAGAAACAGGTCCAAAACACCAGAGACTGTGGGAGACGTCTAGCCAGACGCGCCAAGAGACAAAGAGATGTCTCAGATTGGTCAGGCGAGAATAAGAGACTTGAGCCAGAAGAAAGAGCAAGTAACTTGTTGAAGATGCTGAACGAGGTATTCCATGAGCTAGATGACGAGGTCTGGATCGGTCTCTGCTTGTGCACAGAAGAAGAGCCGCTAGATGTGGCCAGGGGTTTCAGTTGGAGACACCTGAGACCAAGAATAGGAATTGCCTCATTCGGTTCATGACAGTATAAAATTTTAACCATGTGGGCGAGCGAAGAATGCATAACCTTTCTATGTTTGCTTCGTGACTGCAGACCATCAGGACATCCATTTCATCATGATATTCAACCCATATGCATTGCAATAAGTTGTGAAGGCAGGGTCTTGATGATAGCATATTTGACTATAGCTAGCCCTACGGAAAATTTGGACCGGCAGATTACCGGCGGAAATTACCAGATGAATACCGGCGGAATACCGGCGGAAAATCCCTAACTTCGCAGGCGCAGTAATACCAGCAGACTACCGGCAGACTACCGGCGGAAATAAGCACGCCTTTACCAGAGCCAACCGGAGGATTACCAGAGGATACCACCTGCCAACGGGGAGCTCAATAGATGCTGTAGCGACAGTAGGTGTAGCAACTAGACCATCTACGACACACTACAGACGTGCTGCCGCTTTCTTGGCCTTCTTGGCAGACTTGTGCGCCGTTTTTGCTTGTGATGCTGCAGTCTTGGCCTTGGTCATAATAGCGCTGCCTTGCTCAGCGTCCTGTGCTCTGCGTGATAGCTTTGATGTTCTTCCAGACTAGAAATGCATCGTTAGTATGTCATGGTAGGAATGGCAGAAGTGTATACCTTGCGAGACGAGGAGGTGGATCGATCTTTGCTTGACTTCTGGCCACTGGTCAGTCTTATAACATCAAAGATGGGACGGACTTGCCTTGGAAACATGCGCAATCTTGTTTGCTTGACGCTACATCTTGTTAGCCAATGTTTCCTCCGCATAATTGGCTCACATTGTGCTGAGACGAAGTTAGCTGCAACTGAATATGTTAGTGAGGCACATCAGGCAGAAGGAGGAACCCACAACTCTCGATGCAGCCTAGTCAATACTATTGTCTTCAGAGAAGATGGAAGCGGGTGTCTCGCAGCGGGTATTCTCGTTATCGACGCGAGCAGATGACACTCCATGGGCAACGTCGTGCTCGTGGCTGTTATCGTCGTCTTGGGAAGAAGCAGCAGTAGTAGTCTCTCTGTAGACTTTCGCTTTGCGCTTCTGTGGGCGCGTCAGTCAAGAGCTTGCAAGGTACAAAGACACTCTCACCGCTTCATTCACCACCTTCGCGTGGTGCTGGTAGATGGTCAAGGCAATCCAACGTCCATGAGCTCGTCCCAGCACAGGGAAAGCCTTTTCCAACTTGTGAATGACCGTCTGGAGCTTCCCAACGTTGCGGTGACG